CCATTAGTAATTGATGCTAATTTAGATGTTGGAAATAAGGTTCTTGCAGTTACAAGAGCAATGGAATTATATTCAACTCCACCAGGAACAGTATGGACTAGATTGTCTACTTATGCTGATGCTGGTACAACAACTATTACAGTTGCTGAATGTGCTGGTTGGGCTGTTGGAGATGAAATTGTATTTGGACCTTCAGGCAGTGATCCAGAATAAAGAGAAAAGAAAACTATTGCAGCAATTTCAGGATGTTCCATAACTTTAAATTCAGCTCTTGAATTTGATCATTATGGAGCTCCTTCAGTAACTATTGATAAACCAGGTATTGGACAATTAGATATGAGAGCAGTTGTTGGTCATTTAACTAGAAAAATTAAGATTGAAGGAGGACCCAGTGTTCATGGATTAGGATGCAGAGTTTTAATTTATTAGTTTGAAGAGCCTGAGGCTAATTTAGGATTCCCAAGAAGAGGATATACTGTATTACATGGTGTTGAATTTAATAATTGTGGTTAATTTGATACATAAAGAAGTGGATTAGATTTTAGAAATCTTAACAGTGATATTATTAAGACTCCTAGTGAAGTAGTTGGATGTTCATTCCATGATACAACAGGTATGTTGATGACAATTTAAGATTCATAATACATAACAATAAAGAATAACATATTCTTCACAGGTATAAAGGCTTTGGTGTAAATTAATAACAGTCAATATGTGAAATTCTAGAATAATGCATTGATATATGTGAAGAAGAGAGTAATATAAGATGGAGGTATTGCAAATTGGGCAGTGTTTGGTAATTTTGTTTACTCAGAGGAATTGACACCAACCTAAATAATAAGAGATATTATTGATGTATCTGGAAATGTAGGATAAGGATCATAGGATACAGGATTCTTTGTAATGGCTAGTAAATGTTCAGATTCTTATTAATCATCTTTCTATAATAATCATTGTTCAGGGTCTGTTTTGGCTTGCTTTGGTGTTCGATAAGATCCAGATGGTGCATGCACATACATTTAAGGATTATCCGCATATCATAGTGGAGTAGGTATTATGTACGCCGTTAAAGCAGAGGAATTACATTTAGAAAAGGCTTTAGTTGCTGAAAATGAAGTTGGAATAGTTCTTAGAGGTGCACCTTATAGCATCTAAGATAATTAAATGAAGTTTTCAAATAGTTTTGTGAGTGCATTTGTAAGACCAGAATGTACTAAATGTTATTCATCAAAATTAAATCCATATTGTAGTAATACATATGGAGTTAAGATGGGTACATTATCTACAACAGCTTTTCCTCCAATTTCAACAAAACCTTCTGATAATTTTGATTCAATTTGTACAATTTAAAGGGTTGATTTAAGAGTTTATATAAATAATGTAGAATTCAACAATTTCAGATTGAGTCATGATACAGTTGCAAGATGTGGTAAAAATGCAGTATTTAAAACAAATTACAAGGCACATGATTCAACAGGATAACATTATTTGGTTAATTCTCCATGTTCAAATTGTGAATTTGATTCTATTTTATATTAAATGAGGGATTCAGATTGGTCTAAATTAGGATGGTTTGGAGGATGTGGTTCATTTGAATGTACAGGTTAGAAAAATGTGTTAATAGAAGATCAAACGGGTCATTTCTTTGGATAGATTGGTTAGGCAATCACAAATAATACATATTTTGGACCAAATGTAACACATTGTGTAAGAAAGAATAGTTGGAATGGATATTGGTGTCCAGAGAGAAAAATAACAGTATTAAATTTTATGAGTGTTGCTGCAGATTATAATAAGAGATTATATTCACCAATAAAACTAACGGATGGATTATTTTTCAATGAAATTAATAGTTTTACAGAATGGGCTTGGGATGGACCAGAACCTTTGAATTTAAGAGAGTCTAAATTTATAGCATTGGTATCTACAAACACAATTATAAATATGACTAATGCAGGTATGAATCCAACAGCATCAGAATATTGGTTATCAAAAAGAAGTGAAGCTGGAAGTCCTGAAGACTTTGTAATTTTGAAATGGGAATTCTCTGTACCTTAGATTGTATAGGTACATGTTGGTTCAAAAGTCATATTACCTGGATTAACAACGCATTCTAAACATCATGATTTAACAACAATGACTGATTAATGCGGGGCAAATAATTATTTCTTTGAAAATAGAACTATTCATTTTGTTGTCAATGCAAAACTTGATTGCAAAGTTAAGATTTCATTAAAAAATACACTCTAAATTTCAACTAGATTAGAAATAACTACAGATTAATTCTTTGGAGATAAATTCTTGTAATATGCCAAAGCTTAATTAGGAGGAGATCCTTATAATTACTTTATTATAGGAACAAAGAAATCTAGGAGAAGATTCTTAGATGAAAGTACTAGTTATGAAATTACTGTTGATTGGGGAATAGTTGATAGTGCTGATATTGGAACAGATGCTTCTGCAAATTCATAATCAATTCTATCTGAATTAGCCACTAAATTAGAATCTCTCAATCCTCCTCCTGAGATTGGTACAGTTTTAGAATAATCATCTACAATCACTGCCATTAGCAATTTAAATTTCCCAAGTACAGAAGAAACAGCAGGTATTTATTCAATATTATTATTTAGCTACTCCTCCTACTCCAAATGATGGAACCAATACAAACACTGGTAATAATAATAATAATGGTAATAGTGATAATGGTAATGGAAACTCTGGTTCAACAGGTGGTAATAATAGCAATAATAATAATTAAAGTGATGATTCATAAATTATTTTGACTACTGATGAGGGTGTCAATCAATAAGAATTGAAAGATCAAAATAATAATAATAGCACCTCAGGAACAATTTAAAAATCTATTAAAAAGGCTGAATCAACATCATCTACAGTGATAATTGTTGTTTCTGTCATTTGCTCGGTTGTTGGTGTTTCTATCCTTATTTCAGGATTGTTATACTATAAGAAGGTCAAATTAGCGAAACTCATGGCAGCTAGGGTTCAGAAAGTCGATAATGAATTCTTCAAAGTCAACATCACTGAATTATAGCTACAACAATAACCACATGAATGAAAATTTAATCAATATTTTACATATACAAAATTAAAGTTTTATTTATGAAAAAATAATGGTATACATAAATTAATTGATCATTTTCTTACATTTATTAGCTAATTAAAAAATTTTTGGAGAGTAAAAATATAAAAATAAATGAAACAATATAACTTTTCTGTCTTTGATAAATTTCCAACAAGGAATACAACCCTCTGGAAAAAAGGTTTGCCAAAAATTACTTAAATTGACCATGAATTAAGACAAACTTCAACAGAAGCCCCTATTTAAATAAGAGATGACAGCAACAATCTTGTTGATAGAAGTAGCTATCATTTAATTAACTAATATCTGATATCAAATAGCTGCCACATCAATATCAAGAATTTATGCTTAAAATCAATTTTTCATTTCAATGTATTCAGCTATTATAAACTAGATGGAAGGATTGTAAATATCAGGATCGGAATGTTTATAAATTTTTGGAAATCCAGATGTAATCTAGAAATGGAAAAAATATTTTTCTAAATATACAATCTCGAGAAATTTTTACAAGAAATATCAAGTAATAAAAATGATTGGCAAGGGAACTTATGCAAAAGTCTATAAAGTAGAAAGAATTGATGATTCATCCATTTTTGCTGTCAAAATTTTTAAATCAGAAAAATTAACAAACAAAGACAAAGGACTTGTATTTTTTATATTCTTCATATATTATAGGATAGTTTATTAAAAGAGATAGATATTATGAGAAAACTAGACCACAAAAATGTTTTACACTTACATGAAGTATTTGAGGATGATAACTATGTTTATTTAGTAATTGATTATTTGGAAGGAGGAGAATTACTCAAGTAAATGGAAGACTCATTGGAAGGCTATACAGAAAATTTAGTTTAAAATCTAATATAAAATTTACTGTGTTCATTAAATTATTTGCATTCAAAGAAAATAATACACAGAGATATTAAACCAGAAAATTTAATACTTAGAACAAAGAATAATATAACAGATTTGGTTATTGCAGATTTTGGTCTATCTGATATTTACAATGAATAAGGGATTTATTTATTTCAAAGATGTGGCACAATTGGATATGTTGCACCAGAAGTATTAAGAAATGAAATCTATGATTATAAAGTTGATATGTTCTCTGTAGGTGTGATATTATTCATTTTATTAACAGGAGAAGTCCCTTTCTAAGGTGATAGTGACACTGATGATTTATTATAACAAAATGCATTATGCTAAATAGACTTTAATAAACTAAACAATAGATCAATCAGTCTAGCAGCATAAGATTTTGTTCGATTATTGTTAGATGAAAATGTCAAAATTAGACCAAATGCATAGGAAGCACTTCAGCATTCTTGGTTTAACTCTCAAAAAGTTGATTCTTTTGTCAGTTTATCTTTAATAAAATTACCATTAATTAATACAAAATAAGATTAGAATGATTTTATTAAAAGTTCAACTCCACTTTGGAACTAAAAGGGATCTCCATTAAGTGAATAATCACCATTATAATAATACCTACAAGATGATATTCCTGAAATTGAATATGAAACTAATTATTTTAAATAATTTATTCCTGCTGAATAGGATGAATATGAAATAGTTGAGGATTTTGTTGATGAAGATAAATCTCCATCCTAAATGGTACCAAAGTACCAAATGCCTATTAAATAAAGAAGTTCTCATTGATTTATTAAATATATTTTTAGAGAATTTAAAATTCTTAAAAAAAAATTGTATTATTTTAAAATGAAATCTGCATAAAATTTCACTTAATGATTTTAAAAAATTATCAACGAAAATTTTTTTAATGTTTTTTTAAATTCTCATTAATTAAAATAGAAAATAAATTAATAGAACAAGAAATTCAAATAATATGTTGATAAATTATATCAAAAATTAATTAATTTTGCAATCTTGTAAAATAATGATAAAAGCTAGTAAAAAATTACCATAGATTCATTTTATTTATTGAAAATATTTAAAAATTTTTTTAATTTATTATAAAATAATTAAAGGAAATTTAAAATATATATATAGTAATGTTAATTTCATTATTTTAATTCAAAAACAATTAAAGCCTTAATTTTTTAAGATAATATAAAAATATATATTATATTATAATTTCTTATTCTAATATTTATATTTCATTTTGCGTGTTTATTACACCATGGACATGTAGGATAAGCTTGTAAATATGTATTCCAAGCATCTTTAAGTGCTCCTCTTCCACAAGATTAACAATTAATTGATTAATTCTTAAGAAGTGGCATACCAGTAATTATGCAAGGTTCCCAAGTTTATTTACATTTGAAACATCTAAAAAGATTAAATTTATTATATACCTCAATGAAGCATCATAAATTTGATATCCACAATCACATTGACGAGTAGGTAATACTGGATCTTAATTTTGATTTACAGATAGTTAAAGTAACCAATCTCTAATTTCTTCTTTTTCTTTGTCAGAAATTAAATTCTTTTCTGGCATTGGTACATCATAAGGGGATGGTAAATCACTATTTTAGAATTCAGCTCCATCTCCTAATCCATTATTGTTATCAGGATCTTCAATTACTTCATATATATCTAAATATCTATTTAATAAAACAAATGCCAATCCAAATTAATTGATTTTTTTAGCAACTCTTCCAGCATCTAAATATAATTGATCAATTCTAACTAAATCACAGTATCTTAATAAAGAAATACAAGTTTAAGCATGTAATTTAACGATACCATCTTAAGCATATTAATTTCTAAGATTGAGTAAATGTGATACAATTCCAAATCTTTAGAATTTCTTACCAGCATCAGATTTTAATTCATGGGCAGCTTCTAATCCTTAAATGAATCCATATAAGGCTTATCTAAGAAGTTTAAGTTCTTTTGGATCACATTCTACAAAGATTTCAATTGCTAAATTTTCATAGATTGGATAATTTTATTAAATGATTGGCATTCCATAAGTAGCTAATGATTAAATAGTTTCACTAAATCTTCCTTATTACATAGTGATTTTAACATATCTCATTAAATATTTATTTAAATATTCAACTCCATGTTTATCAGCTAATTGTAAACATTATCCCCAATCATTTTTTTATGCTAACATTTCCATTGCAGCAACAACATCTCCAGTTTCAATCATTACATTAGCTTATCCAGTTGATGCTCCATACTTACGTTACTCTTTAGTAATATAATCAATTAATTTAGCATTTAATTCTTTATTATTAATCATTTATGCGACTTACTTTGCTTTTTCAAATTCTCTACCTTAAACATAGGTTGTAACTGCTTCTTAGTATTATCCAACTTATTCATAAAGATATGCTGCTGTTTCTAATTTCTTAATTTCAATTAGTCTTTTACAAACTATCTATACAATTCTAGGGTATTTATCTTTATCATAATTAGCAGCTATTTAAATGGCTCTTTCCCATGCTCTAGTCATTACATCTTCACTTTATGTGTTCTATGGTGTGACTTCTAAATAGATTTCAATAGCTTTCAAATAATCTCTTTATTCTTCCCAAGTTTAAGCACTTTGATATAAATCTTCACCAGTCATATTATATGTATTTGCTACATTACCATATTTATTATTTAATTCAGCAACCATATGAGGAGCATGACTTTTTGCAATTTTCAAAGCCAAAGGATAATTACCTTAATCAACATACATTTTTATTGCTAATTCAGGTCTTTTACCTTGAATGTAAGCTTATTCTGCTTTTTAAAGATCTTTCTTTTCTATATAAAATTTAGCTTAACTTATTAAAATTTATGTTACAGATTATGGTTCATATTGTCTAGCCACTTATAATGCACTGGTATAATCTCCAAGATGTTCATACATATTAATAGCTTCTGATGCTTTGCCAGCTTTTATGAAATTCTCTTCAGCTTCTTTATATCGTCTTTCATCTTCTAAATGACAAGCATATTTAAAATGAACATCTTATAATTTATGTTTAGCATGTAAATTAGCTAATTTAAATGCTTCTTCAAATTCATGTCTATCTGATTAATATTCTATCAAAGCATCTACTAAATTTAATCTTTACAACATTTTCAATCCAGCATCTGGTCCAAGAGATTCAGCCCATAATTTAGCTTATTAACATGTTTCTTTTTCTGATCCATACATTTTACAACATCTAATAGCTTCTTCCCATTAATTATGAGTCTTGTACATTTACATAGCTAAATGCCATGAACCAGCTTCAATATAATGTTATTCTGCTCTTTTAAGAATGTTTTCTCTTTCTAATTTTTTAGCAATTCCTAAATGAATATCTTTTAATTTTTAAGGAGTATATTTGCTGGCTATTCTAATCACACTTTCATATTATGAAAGGTTTTAATACATCAAAATAGCAGTATCATATTCTTGAACAGTTAAATATAATTTTTCAGCCTCTTTATATTTACCAGCTTATTCAAACTTTTTACCTTAATTTAAATATAATTAATTAATTTCCTCAGGTAAATATTCTCTTGCTATAGAAAGTGCTTTATCCCATTTACTTGCTTTAACATACATTTCAAATGCTTCAATTGGAGAATTAGCTTTTATATAATATTTTTCAGCAAAATCATATTATCTAACATCCTCATAATGTTTGGCTACTTATCTATAATAAGGTCTTGATACTTCAGCTGATTGATTCTATAATAATTAAATTGCTTTAGTCCAAGATCTACTATATACCGCTGCTTCAATAGCTTTTTAGAATTTGCCTGCTTCAACATAATGATTAATAGCACTTTCAGTTTCTTTATTTTCTACTAAATAATTAGCCCAACTTTCCTCTAATTATTTGACTAATTTAGGATCTTTCCTTTTAGCCAATTCAACTGCTTTTTTGAATACATTACCTTTAATATAACAATTCAATGCTTATTAATCATCTTCCATCTATTCATAAAATTCACCTCCTTTTTCATACATCCCACTCTATGCTAAAGAAGAAGCAATTCTTTCTAATAAATCTTATGGAAAAGACATATTGCAATTAAATACAATATTGGCTGCTTTAGCTGGTAATCCACCTTATAAATAAAGAGTAATTGCATTAATAAAATCACCTTCATTCTCTTTTAATTCGGCTGCCTTTGATTCTTATCCAGTTTCAATTAACCATTAATAATAATTTTCTTTTAATACCTTAACTTATTCATGTCCTCTCTTTTCAGCAATTTTAATAGCTTCATCCCATTTATGTAAATCTTAATACATTCCCATAGCTTCATTAACTTCATTATGATTTAACAATAATTCTTCAGCTTTAGTAAATTATTTATCTAATATAGCCAATTTAGATTAAACTCTATAATATGATATTCCATCCTTTTTTCCAGTTTCTTCATAGTATTTTTAAATAAGTCTATTAATACCTCTCAAATAAGCTGCTCTAGCAACATCTCCTAAAGCAGCATAACAATGTTCAGATACAGATAAATTCTATTCTTCCAAAGATAATTACGCTAATACTTTCCAATTAGCCTCAGTATCAGATGTTAATTCTAATTTATCTAAAATTGATGCTGCCTTCTCAAGATCTCTTCCTTCTATTGCAAATCCAAATTCTATCAATGCTTAATCTAATTTATAAGCAACTTTATTTTGACCTTCACTCACTATTACAGAAGTAGAACCAGCTTAAGTTGGTGTACTTGGAATCCTTTCAATTTCTTCTACATCTCCTTTTATTGTGTATAATGTAACTTTATCAGGGTTCTCAATTGAATACCAAACACATAAATTGTTTCTATTCTAAGCTACTATAACTTCACTTTCAGGAACCCATTGAGCATAATTACAAAATGAAAGAAGAGTATGTTTAAATGCATTTTTTATTGAATACAAATATAGTTACCTTCTTTTATCTCTAAATATCAATCTATTAGCATGAGAATTCAATTCCAAAAAATCAATCTTTGTATCATGAGCAATTGTAGCTATTATACTCTTAGTTGTTAAATCTTATATTTAGAGTGTTTACAAATCCAATAAAAATGCAATCACTTTTGTTTTATTCTACCCAGTATAACTCACTTTAGCACTTATAAGTGAATTTTTCATATGTTCAGTTCTACATGTACCTAAAATTCTATCACTTCCATATTCAATTAATGTTAATTCACCAGCATTAAATACCATACATATATTTTCATTTGTAAAATCAAATTTTTCATTTCCACTTCCTCTCCAACTTACTTCTGAAGTTTTTCCAGTAGCTAAGTCTCCTACAATTAAAGTTTCATGTGTTTTAGCAACAACAAATCTCTCTTTTTTAATATCTATTTTTGATATTTCAGCTTAAGATGATCTAATGACTGCTTATTAATTAGTAGATAACACTTAAATGACAATTTAAGATGGACCTATATAATTTAAATCATATTTTCCTTTGAATCTAATTTTTTTCATTGAAATATCCCAAGCATCAACAGAACCACATAAAGATCCAGTAATTAATTTAGATGAATCATTCTTCCAACATAATGCTGTAATGGTATAATAATTTTCAATGTGTTTGACTCCTATTTCTTCCCATTAGGATCTTTTTTAATTATATGTATATAGATAAAATCTATTGAAATTACCTAACACTATAATATCTCCATTAGGACTACAAGCACCAACAGAAAAATCTTTACATCTCTCATCTTATGTATAATCAAATCTTTAAACTAGATTTCCATAATTATCATAAAATGATACTTTCTAATCATTACCAGCTGCAGCTACATTCTAACCATAAGCTAAAGCATATGGTATTGAATGATGAACTACTAGTTTTTATGATTATTATGTATCCAAATTATAACTATAGACTGATCCATCAAGATGACCTGATACAACAACATCTCCATCTCTATTAGTTGCCATACTTACAACATATGATTCTGTTGTAAATGCTATTTGAGACTAATTATAATATTACTATAATTAATTACTTTATTATTTTTCAAAAATCCAATCTTAACCTTTCCTTCTGCTAATCCAAATATTATATCATTCTCTCTTTATGCTGGCCATATCAATGTTGTTATTGAAGAAGATGCTGGAAATTTATTACAAATTGTCTTTTTCTCTTTAAATTTTGCTCCAATCTTATATACATACACTATATTATCAGATTGTGCAACTGCTATCTTTGTTGAATCTGGAGAAAATTCTATTGCTCTTACTACATAAGATTTCTATTATGTTTTATCTGATGGCTTTGTTGGGAAATTGTCCTCTTTACCCAATTAATCATTAAATAATAATATTTTCTAATTTTTATATCTAAATCACTTACTCGATCAGCTGTACATACACCAAGTTTTTAACCATTATAAGACCATGCTAATCCACTCACTTTTTGCATTCCATCTAATGCAGGCATTATATTACAAGAATACTTAAGTTACATTAAATTTTTTAAATATTAATGTCATTTATATCTAACAATTTTCGATTTAAAAATAATCACTCTCTATTTTTAATACATCATTTCATATTATAAATATCTTTGAATACTATTTATGAATATAAATTTTTATTATTTCAAATTTCTATACCATATTTATGTAAGTTTAATTGATATATGTATAGTAATAGGAAAATCAAATTCTTTTTGCAGGGGAAAAGGAAATTCGTTAAGAAAAAGTAATTTTTTAAGGTGACATTATGTAAATTCTTGCTTCTCTTTATAAGCTGTATCTTAAGATCTAAGGTGGCCTTCCAGATGAAGAGACTCTAATTTATTCTATATGGGCTTGCTTTTTTATTGAACTCTTAATCAATGGGTCAACTTTTGTGGACCTACTTGGAACCTTAAAAAGGGGTTTTAGTTTTTTGAACTCATGACATTAGTTTGTTACCTATTTATTTTTATCTACAAAATTCAATTATGAAAATGCTAATTATCATGTTATGATACACTTTTCTTCATTTTCATGTGATATTTATTAAGGAGATTATTCATCATCTTAAGTTCTAAAATGAGCTGTACTATTTGATTCCTAGATATCTGCATGATAATTGCTTAAGTCTTGAGATAAAGATAACAATTTATCTTTAATTTTGAAAATCTGTTCTCTTAATAATTATTGCTCGTTTGCATGCAAAATGGACATTAACGAATAATTTTATTTATTTATAATATCAAATATTTTAACAACCTAATTATATCTGAAAATAGATAAACCATAGTTCATCTTTTTATAAACTTCTCTCCAACTCTTAATATATACAATATATACAATGATTTAAAAACTGTTCAACATACTAAGAAATTCTAAAAAAAATTAATTGTACAAATACCTCAATAAAAAAATATCAAAAAAAACATTTCGGTAATTCTAATGTAGAGCTATACAATTCTAAAAAAGAATATGTTTTTTGTTAGAATAAAGATATTTACAACATGGTTGCATTATAAATTAATATAGAATAAATTCATCAAATGAATGACTTTCATAAATTAATGAAAAGGTCCTCTATATTTCTCAAAATCTAGAATGTTTCATTTAGATTTAAAATTAGAAAGAGTATTTGCATTTTTTAGAAAAATAAGTATTGATATGGATTAATGTGATTATTTTTATAAATATTATGTAAGGAAATGACTTGTCATCGGAGTAGATGTAGAAAGATGCAGAAATCAAAATGATTCAAGATAGAGAATAAAATGAAGAGCTTTAACAATAGGAAGAGAAAAAACCACTCTTTTCAAATTCAACATAAAGATGGATATTATGGATATTAGATGTAGTAGGATTAATCATATTTCTTGGGTATTGCTATTTCATTCAAAGTTATATCTCAACAATTTACTTCTTGATTTTCATGTTGATTATCTAAACTTGGGAAACTAAGCTGTATAAAATCGGAATGTTTGAAAGAAGAGATTCTGATAAAAAGGTAAATACTTAGAAAATTGTAATTAGATTTACAAAGATCCATTGGATTTTCTTTAGAATTATACTAAAATACGAGAATTGTACAAACAAAGAAAAACAATTGCAGCTAATACTTAAAATATAGAAGATGATGATTCAGAAGCATCTGGATTTGAGGATACTGAAATTAAATATAAACCTTTGTATTGGATTATTTTCAAAGATTAGAACCATGCCATTTGGATATTTTTATTAATTTTCTCAGCATTGAGTTTAGTAATGAAAGGAGTTTTTATTGGAATTATTAAAAATGATCCTTCATAAGCATAAAATATTATGAGTCTATAGAATTATGAAGGAATTGAAGTTTATTTCGAATTAAAGAATAATAAATTTGTTATAACTACTAAAGATTATGTTAAAATATTCTTACCAAATTCACTTATATTTGTATTTTGTTGTTTAGTAATGGCATTAAGAAGAGTTAAGAAAAAGAAATATTTAGAATAATTTGGAGAATCTATGAATAGATAGATATTTTCATTTTATTTTGTTATTATATGGCTATTTCTAGCAATGATTATAATTACTTATTAGTCACTTATAGGATATTTTTATTTTATTTTGCAATTGATAGTTGGTCTTAGATATTTTTAAAAAGAAGCTACAATCACTTAATTTGATTAATTTATTTTGAAAATATTAAAAGCTACAATGTTAAGCACATTATTAATAGTTTATTTTGCTGGTACTCCAATTATCACTTAATATATAAGTGAGACATCATATTGGCCATAATTTTTTGGTTTAGATGTAATTTATTGGATGAGAATTAATAATTAATGGAATGTAATTTATAATTTTTTAAATAGAGTTACATATTCATGGCTGGAGGTTTGGCATTATTTGCATTCTTATGTATTATGTCAGAGTAATATACAAATGAAGAAAGAAAAATAAAATTTAAAGATCCAATTTAAGAATGTATTACAAATTATGAGATTTATCTTTTTAAAAAATAAAAATATAATACAACTATTATAGAAGATAAAGAAGCACCTAATATTGAAATTAAATAAAAAATAGATGATAATTAAGAGGATTTACAAAAGTAATTGGGTGAAGAAAATGAACTAAAATAAATTATGCCTGGATAAACAGTAAGAATGTCTCATGTAGAAGAAGGTGATGAAGAAGATAAAAATAAAATTCTTTATAAATTAAATACTACCTTATTTTCATTAGGAAATAAATTGTCTAAATTTCTTGATTAACCTATTGTTACACTTAGACTACTACAATTATTAATGATTACAATTGTTATAATGTAAAAAACCTATGAATCTTTGCTGTCAGTAATTTGGATCTTAATTACAGGTATTTTTAATTATTAATTAGGTTTCACACTTTAATATAATATTAATTCATTCACTTCTTTAGTTTTAGCATTACCTTCTGTTTTCATTAATTATCTTGTATTTTATTATTAATGCATCCCAAATATGAATTTACCTGATAATCCTTTTTTAATATGTAATTCTTAAGATTTAGTATGTTAAAAAATTGGATTCTTTAATCTTAATGAAGATTATAAAAAAGTTATCAATGTAAATTTATTGAATAATTTTTAGCTTCTTATTATGAATATTGCTATTTAAGCATTCTTTCTCTTTATTCGATAAGTTCATCAATATGAGTAGTATTAATCAATATTGTAATCTACTAAAAAATCTTAAGTATAGACTAATGCAAATAAAAAATAATTGAAGGTAATTAACAAAATATATTAGTTAAGGATGTGAGCTGGTTAACTTTAATTTTTGCCATTTTATTAAAAGTTTCATATGTTGTAGCTTTAATAATAGTATATTGGATTGGATTTTTTGATGTCAATCTTATCTAAGGTTTTTTAGTGGTTTTTTTGATGATTTTTATCATTAATGATTCTACCCTTTGCATTTATAAATAAAAAAATGATAAAAATGAAATTAAAGAATATATTGTTCCATTTTCATTCAAATATTGGATTGTATTTTTAATATACATTAGTTTAATCACATCATTAAGATACATATATATATTATTTTTTATGGGATAAAGCACTATTAAAGAAGATAAGCAATGGATTATTAGTTTAATAGGAATCAATAATTAAGATAATTATGATATTCTATTTTGGGTATTATTTTATTTTGCAGCTCTTTAATATGATTCTTATAGATCTAAAATTTATCTTAAATATTCAAATTAAATAGTTAATATATTTTTAGAAAAAATAAGTAATAAAGAAAAACAGATTAAAATAAGAACAACCATATAAACCCTTTATTTATTATTTATGAAAACAATCATTTGGATTACATTCACACTAAATATATGTTTTATAATTTTTACCCAATTTTCATTTGTGAATTTAGGATTGTTTATATATATTGGAGGACTCTTTTTGTATTATACTCTTAGATTTATTCAAGACCGAGTTAACTATTATTCAATGTCAAGATGTTGGTATATATATTTATATTTACTTGTATTTGCATTTGTAATTAGATATATATTTTAATTTATTTGCCTACCCAATTATAGTTAAATTATAGAATCTAAATTAGAATCTCTGTATGATAATTTATAATTTAAGTATCAATAATATGGATTTTATTAATACAATTAAAGTAAATTAAGGCTTGAATACTTGCCTGATATGATTTCCATATTTTTTGGAGCTATTTCTTTGAATACTTACTAATTTTTTAAAGAGGCCTAAAAAACAAAATTGAATTAGGCAAATTAATCTAATTAACCACCAAATAATATAGAAAAACCTCTATTATAAGCTGATTCACTATTGTTTTAATCAGGAGCTAGTGAAAATGCATTAACTGATAAAATAGAAAAACAATAATAAAAAGATCTAGAAGATTTAGTTAAAATTATGTAGATTAATATTTTAGATGAATATAAATTCCTTCAAAAGCCTATAATGTTTATAGCATAAATTAATACAGATATATTAACATTATATGTTGTTTTTTCAGTTGTCTTTTTTGTTTAATCAATTGCTTCATTCTTTATATTAGTTTTATATTTAAGTTATTTTGTAGCTGTTCATAATGAATTGTTAGATAATGTGGAATAAAAGAATTTATTAGCAAGATTAAAATAAAGTAAATTTTAAATTATTATTTTAGAAATTGTGAATTTGAAAAAAACATATTTAGATTACTGTTCTAAATAATAAAATTAATAAAATGATGAAGAAGATGAAATTAATTTAGTTTAAACAACTAATCTTATAACAATGACAAGAATGAAAATAAGAATAGAAAAAAAAGTTTCAATTTGGAAAATTTCTTTTAGTTTTAGTTGTTTTTGTGTATTTGTGACGTATTTATCTTAATATTTATCATTATTGATTGAATAAGTTAATGTAGATAAATAACAAGGAATATTAGATGCATAATTAGGATTGTTTATATTTGGAACTTTTGCTTAAGAAATTAATGTTGCTTAAACATGTTTTTGTGGATAGGCAGGAAATAATGAATGTTAAGGAAATAATGATTCTGAATCATCAACTATATTTGATGAGGTTTTATTCTATTTAATACTTGTATTTGCAAATGTTGTAGATGCTGGATGTACTATGTTTCTAAAAGAATAATTAGATTAAGAATAAGAAAATCTAAATTCATTTGAAAATAAATTTTAATAATAGAAATAAAAAACTGAATCTAGATAAGTCATATCAAGATCAATGATTTATACTTTGAAAGGTATTCATAATCAAGCTTAGGGAGACAGTCCAGTTTAATTTATTTCAGAATAATAGGAAATAGATGATTAAAATGAACTAGAAGAATTTAAGAAACAGTTTCCTTTTTTATCTATAAATATTTTAAATTAATATGATTAAACCCAAGAATTGAGTTTAGATGATTTGAAAAAGATTTAAATTGCAGCTAAAGATATCAATTATTACAATAATAGATCAAGAATATTTAATCTCAATTTAACAAATGCTGGATTTGTGACTTTACAACGAGTGTTTATTTTAATTTTATTATTAAATACTCTTTTAGCTAATAATATTTTTTCTTTAGTCTATTTGGGAGTAGCTGCCTATTTATTTATGTAAAAGACTGGAGCATCCAATATTAAAATTTTAAACACTTTTTCAGTTGTTGCTATTTGGATATAATATATTATGATATACTTTTTAAATTTTGAATTATAAGAAAATGATCAATTATTACCTGTTTTGGCTTAAAATTATAATAGAGATGCATTTAGTTTAATTAAGAAGGCATAGGTATTTTAAGAATATCCATATTTTATTCCATATCTTGGCTTTGATAATGGACCTATTATGGATTGTTCAAAATTTGACAGTTATACTAATACAACTATAATAAATGATTTAGAAACAAACTATTGCATTACCAATAATAATATTGAATGGATTTTCATTTTAAATACTCTCGTGCTTTCTCTTATTTATTTGTATTTTTTACTTTTGCAACATATGTCTAAATTGATTTTATCCACAACTATTAAAATGGAATTAGATTTTCAATTTACATAATCAGTATTGTAAAAACTATATTCCAAATGTAAGTTTTAAATCCATTTAAATTATTAAAATTGGAAAAATAGAGTTTATTCTACCATGTCTGGAATTGTTTAATAAATAATTAAAATTAATCATATTATTTTTATTTCTATTATCATATTGTTGGCTAAGTCAAATAGAATTCTTTTAAATTATTTTGAATTTATTTTAGCTGTTTCATTTTTAGTTATTTTTGAATTAATATTGAAAACAAATAGAGTTTAGAATCTATAAAGAGAAAGCATTTATTTTAAAGTTCTCTTCTATTTAGCAGTATTTACAATATCTATGTATACTATTTTAAGACTTCCTTGGATATTAAATTGGTGTGCAGCTTAAAATTTTATTGAAACATCTGATTATTAAAATGAATTTCTTTGCATAGAAATTTTTGATATGAGTCTAGGAGGAATGATATTTATCATATTCTTTATTTCACTTCATTTCGATTTAATAAATTCTAGTCAATTTATTGAATCCTTGAGTAAATTTATGATCTTAGAATAATAATAAGCAAAAATGATTTCAAGGGCCCTTGCCTATCATAAAAATTTTAAGAAATTCACTGCGATCATATAAGTATCTGTGTAAAAAGAGATATTTAAGAAGACATAAGAGAAAGCATAAGACAAATTAAAAATGTGGCATGCAAAATTACTCGATAAAACATAAGACAAAGTCATAATTGCAGATGAAATAAAATAAGAATATTAACCTATTTAATAATTAGAAAAATAAGAATAATAATAATTAGAAAAATAAGAATAATAGTTAGAAAAATAAGAATAATCGCAATAACAATAATAATAATAATAATAATAACAATAACAATAACAATAATAATAATAATAATAACAATAACAATAATAATAATAATAATAATAATAATAATAATAATAATAATAATAATAATAATAATAATAATAATAATAATAATAATAATAATAATAATAATAATAATAATAATAATAATAATAATAATAATAATAATAATAATAATAATAATAATAATAATAATAATAATAATAATAATAATAATAATAATAATAATAATAATAATAATAATAATAATAATAATAATAATAATAATAATAATAATAATAATAATAATAATAATAATAATAATAATAATAATAATAATAATAATAATAATAATAATAATAATAATAATAATAATAATAATAATAATAATAATAATAATAATAATAATAATAATAATAATAATAATAATAATAATAATAATAATAATAATAATAATAATAATAATAATAATAATAATAATAATAATAATAATAATAATAATAATAATAATAATAATAATAATAATAATAATAATAATAATAATAATAATAATAATAATAATAATAATAATAATAATAATAATAATAATAATAATAATAATAATAATAATAATAATAATAATAATAATAATAATAATAATAATAATAATAATAATAATAATAATAATAATAATAATAATAATAATAATAATAATAATAATAATAATAATAATAATAATAATAATAATAATAATAATAATAATAAATTAAAAGTGAAGAGGAAATACCAATAAGAAAAGAATTCGTCAGTCAGTTTGAAAATATATAAGAAGAAAGAAAAAGTCAAGAAATTTTAGAAACTTAACTTTTGAAAGATACAAAATTTCAAAGTTTAAGTAAATCATAAAAGTAATGTATAAAAATTATTGCTTCAATATAATCCTTAAATAATAAATTCAAATTTATGGGTTTACCAAATGTAATGGATTATCTATTATCATAAAATATTATTTTAAAAAGGAGAGTTTAATTTTCATTGAATGATTTTCTTTAAGAAAATTACAGATAATTTGAAGAAGAATTAATTTATTTAGATTAATTTTACTCTCATTTACACAAAAGATTAAGAGCTGCTCCAAACCAAATTTTAGATACAAATGCAATTTCAGAGGAATTTAATTCTAGATTAGAGAAATCAATTTATAATCCAAAGACTGGTAAAAAGATGTAAAGAATGATCTCATCAATGAAATAAACGTTGAAATAATCAAGACAAGTATTACTTTAATCTTAAATATCTGTATCTCCTTAATTTTTATCATAACAATAATAATAAGAAGAGATTAACTATGAAAAATATGTAAAATCTACTGATCTATATTTTGTTAAAATAGTTGATGATAAGCAATTAATATTTGTTGAAAATTCAAAATATTGTTCAGCTCTTACAAAACTATCTTTAGGTGTTCTTATTTTTAGGATCTTTACAGAGATTTTTAGTTTAATAATTACTTATTGGATGCCTTTTTGTTTTTTACTCATAATATTTTATTATGCTTTTAATAGTGGACTTTTGGGAGGGGTATTACCAATTATGTTATTTGTATGGATATTAATTGATGAAAAAGTATAATCAAAATTATTTTGGTTGATATCATTTGGTATATATTTTTTCATTTCTATGTTGGTATTTGCTTATTCATTAAGTGGAGTAACTGAAAAATAAAATCAAAAAAATAGCAATGGAATTTTAGATACTTGGTATTATCCTCTATATAATGGAAATTAAAGCATTTCTTATGAAGTTATACTAATGATTTTTATAATCTTTTAAGTATATTTTGCCAAATAATATGGCATTTATTATAAAAGCTTATTGGATATTGAAAACATATTTTAAGGATATTTAAGAATGAAAATTAATAAATTTACTCCATACATAAAAAAAAGAATTATTGAAGAATAAAATTTGGCAAAATCAGATGATGAAGAAAAACTGATTTTAGAAGATGATTTATTTGATTAATAAAATTAAAAAGAGGAAAGCAATTAATTTTAATTGAAGGAAAGTATTGAAATAGAAAAAAGAATCATTGATGATCCAAAACTTTTGATTTAAGATTCTTCAAGTTTATTTGAGAGAATATTTTCTTACAAATATTCGAGACCTGGTGTTGACTTATATCCTATAACAGCTAGTATTTAGATTTTAATATTAATTTATACTCTTATATTTTTTACAAATATGGTCAGTGAATCAATAAGAATTAATAACATATTGAAAACAAATCAAATACCAGCATCATTGATATGGGCACTTTTAGTTGAATTTATATTGATGTTTTTTGAAAGATATATTACAATGAAAGGTAATACAGAAATGAAAGAAAGTGATAATAAAAAGTAGTCCTTTTTTTAGAAATATAAACTATAATTTTTCCTTAAATTTTTATTATAGTTATGCACGATAATACTCATATATTGGTTGGTATTTTTTTAATTAGGAAAACCTTGGAGGGATAATGCTATTTATAGTCATGATTCTACTTCAGCCTCTTCGTATACAACATTTAAAACAAATGGATATATAGAATGTTTTTTCATTTTATATTCAGCTTATTTTACAGTTTCAGCCTTATAACTTAGGTTTGGTTATAAAAAACTAAAACTTAGAAACACTTTATTATAATCCTATAATTTAATATCTTATGCTATAGCTTAAACTTATTATTCAATACCATTTTTATTTGAGCTTAAAGTATTGATGGATTGGACATTTTTAAAGGTACTAAAATAATAATTTATTATAGACTTCTTTAGACATTTTTTAATGGTTCACATTAGAAGATATTCATGGAATAATGTATTTTACTAAAAATCAATCAAAAGGTTATTTAGAAAAACCTTTAGGATAAAAAATATCAGGATTTAAGAAATGCACATGTGGTTTTTGTTTAGTTTTGGTGATATTTGGTTGCATTTTTGTTCCTTTGATATTATTTTCAAGTTTAAATCCAGCTTCAGAATTGAATCCTGTAAGAGGGGGAGAATTTTCACTTTCATTAATTAATACTAAAACAGCTCTTAATGTTGTTTTATATTAAACTAATTAATTTTATGGATTAGAAAATACTTTAGAAACTAAACAAGAAATTGATGAAGCTCTAGGTTCAGATTGTACAAATTAAATAATAACTAATGCTCCAAAATAAGGAGAATTATAATAATTTTAATTACTTAATTTTTCAAATTCAAATTGGGATATTTCATATCCTTTATTCCAACAATTACAAGAATAATTAACTGAAAAAATTGATGGAAATGTTGATCATGAATTTTTCTTAAATGTATCGTTTATCTTTACTAGAGATCAATAAAAAATTATCCCAACTAAAAATTACTTTTAATATCCTGGCAGTGGAAATATTTATCTAAAGGATCTTTCTGGGTAAAATGAAAGTTCTTTGAATAAAACTACATTAAAAGCACTTTAATCTCTACTGAGGTGTGTTAATCGTGAGGATTCAACAAATCCTTAATAAATATTTTTAGAAAACTTTTATATTTAAACTGTATAATTATACTCAGCTGATGGAACTTCATTCAAATCAAAACCTATTTTTGCAAACGCTAATTAAAGTATAGGAAATGCATCATTATCATTCTTTTGTAATGGATCAAGTCCTTTAGAATCATAATCTTGGTGGACTCTAGTTTATTCAGGTAACGCATGTTTGCTAGAATATTGTGATGAATCTGAAAAAAAAGATTAACCTAATGGTTTAATTATGTTTGTAGTTTCAGATACTTTTTCAACTTTAACATAAGGATTCAGTATAATAACAATTTACACATCAGTCATTTTACTTATAGGATCATTTATTCGATCATTCTTTTCTGGACAAATATGGATGTTAGAATTCAAAGGAATGGTATATCCTGATGATTTAATTATGATTTGTTAGGCTATTTCTATTGCTAGATCTCAATAAGATTTCAAAAGGTATTAAAAATATTATTTATATTTAGCGAAAATATTTTATACTTTGAATTAATAGACATACTTCGATCTCCTGAAATTGTTAAAGTTATGACTGGAACATGGACTGAAGAAATTAAAAAGAAAGAATTTGAAAGAGAAAAGATATTGCAATAAGAAAATGAAGAACAATTATTATAATAATAATAGGAATAAGAAAAATAGAAAGAAAAAGCATCTAATAATAATAATGGATAAAAGTTAAAATAAGATTGATTATTAAATTTATTTGGATAAATATAAATCAACAATTGATCACTCTACTATAATGTCATCTTATTATAGTTTTTCAATAACTTATGTTTCTAATTTTAATATATTATTTAGTGCAGTTTAGTATTTGTATTTAATTTCATTAACTTCTTATAATTTAGAGACAATTTCCTTATTTTCCTATTAATAGGATAAAATTGGTTATGACTGATAATGGATTGAACTCACAGGTGGTCTAGGTGAAGGTACTTGTTAATTAGAAAATCTCCAATCTTTATTATTATTACGTTCCCATGAACTTTTATGACTGTATCTATATGGTCGTTAAGGACTAAAAGAATCCAAATCTCTATATCTATCTGTATCTCGTTCTCTCTCTTTTTCTCTTTCTCTTTCTCTTTCTCTTTTCATCTCATCAATTGCCTCTATCACTTCTGCTTTCTATTTTCTCCTTGTATTTTATTGTTATTGATATCTTGATAAATTATCTTTCAGAACTTCTATTGTCTAATTCAATTATTATATATGCTAATCTAATTATTATCTTTCATTTTGCAATAAACCAATCTAATCTTCCAACTCTAAAATAACATTTCTTTAGTATTCTATTGTATCATACAGATCCTATACATCATCTTATTATAGTTTATTTTATAATTCATAAATCTTATTTTCATAAACTCTTCTTTCTGCATTAAATTCTATATCTTTTGTATTAATTTATGATCTCTATAATACTTCTAAATGCTATCTTAATTCATATAATTCATTTTATCTTTGTTTCTCATATTTTAATATTAACTCTTTCCAATTTTCAACTTCAGGATACTTTTGTACATTGCTCTACAACAATAAATCTATTCTTTTCATAAATTCTTTTAACATTTATTGCTTTTCCAATTCATGTTGCTCCTTTAACCTTTATATAATATTATCGTTCATACTATTAAAATTATTTTATATATACGTCAATATATATAAGTTGGTTGAGATCAAATATACATAATTTTTCAATACATTTAGTCTAAATAAAATAATTAATAGCTCTTATCAATTTAACTCTTAATTTTGAAGATATTCAAGAAAGGAATTATAAAAATTGTAAATATTATCTTAACAAATGATAATGAATTATAAAAATATTTTAAAAGAATGTAGAATTAAGGAAGATAAGTAATAAAATAAGATTAGTAAAAGAATTGTATAAATTAATAAAATAGAGAAGAAGTTTAAAAATTGTGAAGTAAGTTCTATTGAGAGAGAGTGGAATAAAATAATAAAGGAATAATTAAAAAGAAATGATGGAATTGATTATTTTGAAATTAAATTTACTAACAAAATTTATATTTTTCATTTGAAATTTATAGAATCTCATGATATAGATGAATTGCGTAACAGAATGTTGTGATAAGGGTATAATGGTAGAGGAAAAGTGTAAGTGTGATATAGGATCATTTGGTGATGATTGTTATTAAAATTTGTAAGACATTTACATAGCTACTTATTATACTTTTATTGGGATTTATAGTGTTGCATTTCTATCGATATTATTGGTAACTGTAAGTTAATTTGAAAATTCTTTGAAGACTTAAAGAATACCATCTTATTATACGTAATATGATATATTTTATTTAAGTTTTTTTTAATATGCATATGCACTAGTTGGGTCTCCTTAGAATTGCATTTTAGTATTAACAATGGTTTTATCAACATGTAAATTAATATGGTTAATATTGGATCCGTTTGAAATCTATGTAAGATAATTATCTATAAAGGTTTTAGGGAGGGAATTCAACAGTTATTGAAAGATTACTAGCCGAAATAGTATATACAATACTGTTTTATATCTACGGTTGCTTATTGATAGTGTGGTATACCATGTATGATGAGATTTCATATAATATTTATTAAGGAGAAGGGAAAAAGCAAAGGAAGTGGATATTCAAATATTATAAGGAAGCATTGAAGATACGATTGTTTATTGTGTTATTGGTTTAGATAACGGTAAGTACATTAAATGGTAATTTAAGTTATAATTAAAGGTTTAAGGAAAAGTTTGTAGTATCCAATCTTTTTGATGATTTGTTACATATTTTTAATGGTTAACTTCTTTTTGTTCATAATAGAATTCATCATATATGGTTCTTCATTGTAAAATTGTATAAAAGACTAGATTACAAAATGTAGATAGTAGTTTAGAATACAAAATTCAGGAATGGAATAAACCATATAATAATAAATTATAAAAGAGGAGAGTTTTAGTAAATCTCCTGAATCAGTTTAAAGAGCAGCAAGATTATCTAGAGAAATAAGTATTGAGGAAGAAAATAATTAATTTTAGGATGAAGTGAAATAAATAGAGGAACCAAAAATAAAGATTGGATATGCAAAAATCAAATCTGTGTCATTTGCAAGAACATTTGTAAAAGGAGTTAGGGGATCAGCATTTATTAGATAAGAAAGTTTAAAATAATTGAAATCTAATAAATCTAATTAGTAAAATTAGGATTTAAATACTGATCAATCTGCAAAGGATTTAGATAATCAATTTAAGTAGGAATAAAAAGATGAAGAAATCAATAGTTGTTGTTTAAATGAAAATTAATCTAATTCTATGTAATGGGAAAATTAAGATGATAGATAAACTTATAAAGATACTGTCAGAATACAAATAAAAGCTATCAAAGAAACTAAAGATACTGCTGAATATAAAAAAGAATTATAACCAAAATAAAGGGATAGAAATGATTCAAAAAGATAGTAAAATATTGGAATCAATCAATATGATTACAAAACATCTATTCATTATTAATCTGATGAATATTAAGAGAAATTTAATCTAAAATCTTCTAATTTAGCTATTGACAGACAAATCTTATTCAAGATATAATTGTTAATTTATTTTGGCATTATGTTAGAAATACTATTTGGAGGATTAAGCATAACTGTATTATTAACAGATTTGATTAGAGATCCTATTGGAGTATTGGTTTATTTATATGGATCATCAACATTATAGTTTTTCTCCTTGATAACAGTATTGAAATTATTTAGAGACATAAAAAATCAAGAAATAAAGAATCTAATTTGGATTCAGAAGGTGGGTAATCAGAAGAATAAAATAAACTCACAATATGTTTTCTCAATCCCTTAAGATTAGAAAGAAGATGCATAAAAATTGAAATTCGAAAAAAGAATTAATATGAATACTTTATATTGATATTATTATGAAATAAGTGTATCTCTCATCATATCAAATCACTTAGCTTTTTGAATCAGGTTCACTCACATATACTGAAGAAAATGAACAGACTGATCCTTAAAGTGTTGTTGTTAGTAATTTTTAAATGTTTCACTATTTTTTAGTCTCTCAAAAGGAATACTAAAATTTACAATAACAACATGAGAGAAGAAAAGATTTAGAAAAGTAATACAATGAATAGATGAGTAATTTAAATATGGAAATAAAAAAAATACAAGAGGAATTGGTATCATTTAAACATTAAAGAGAATTAATAACTTCTAAAGATTGTAATGAGTCAATTAATTTTATAGCTTTACTGCATAGTTTGAGATTGTAGTTTCAAGAAGCCAATTAAAGAGAACATAGAACTATTTTAGAATTGTCAAAATAGAATGAGTAGCAATTATAGTTAAAATAATAATTTGATTTCATTTAGGAAAAATATAATAATCTTAAAAAGTAAAGTAAATTTGAATAAGACAAAAAAGAAAAACAAATTGAATAACTTAATTTATCAATCTTATAGTTAACCCAAGAGAATGAAAAAATTAAATAAAGTAGATTCATTAGAAAACAGATTACTTAAATATAATTAAAAAGCAATTGTAATGTTGCATTTAGAAAAAGAACAAATTAATGATTAAATTATTTATCAATGTTTAGAATCATTTATGTCCAAATTAACTTTAGAAGGTCTTAAAAGATAAGAGAATCCAAAGGATTATCTATACAATTAGATAAAAACATTACCTATTCACTCCAGAAACACTAAATCTTAAATCTGTCTAAAGACGAGTTCGTCTTCTTTCTGATGATCTTTCAGTCTGTATAAGTTTCATAATTTCATCTTTCTTTGTATCATCAAATAAGAAGAATGAACATACACTTTCTGATTAATAACTATAAGTTTAGTTAATAAATGGAAATAATAAAGGACCCGTTAAACTTTCATTAATGCAATCTTCATCAGATTAATCTTTATCAACTTTCTATTCTTATTTGGCTTCTATAAGTCTTCCTTACAATAAAATTCCTGCCTAAAAGGATACATTTGCTTAGGCAGAATACTTTTTGAAAACAGCAAAAGTTAAAATATTTTCAATGCTTTCCTTATCAACTAGAGAAAATATTTAGAATTCTTTTGGATAGAATCTGCTTAAACTAAAAATACTATCCCTCCAAACAAAATCTTGCATATAAAGACTTTATTTATAAAGAGAAACCATCAACTCAATCTCAATTTATATCACTTCAACTAATGATGCTGCCACTACTTATGAAATATATAAAGTTGATTCTAAAACTATATGATGACATGATAGTAACTAACCAATATCTTTTGAGACTGAAAAATTAGAGCTTCCTGAACTAGTCTCATTAACTCTTCCTCTTGTAATAATATAGAAATATCTTGTTAAATCTCCTTCTTTATAAATACATTCATCTTTATCAAATAAAAGTTCTTTGGATTATAATGCTAATTATCTTAATAAGTCTTCATTAAATTCACTAAATAATGGGAGTACTTTTAGTTTACTATGTATAGATATTTATGGCCAAATAGGTCTGATATCTTCAACATTACAGACAAAATAGTTTAATTATAATTTCAATTTTTAATATTGTTGAAACTATTTAATAATAAATATAATATACTTACATCCAATTCTCCTAATTCATATTTTCTTAATAAATATTTACCTTAACTTGCTAGACATCCTTATGCTGATTTTTTAGTTTGTATCAATTTGATTATTTCAGGAAAACTAACATAAAAATATCCTTCTATGAAATTTTCAGCATTGGTTCTATTTTCTTTAGATTCTTTGGATAGTTTCTTTTTTAATGTAGTATTAATAGGGAATTCTTCTATCATATTTTCCATTTCTAAATGAATGATATAAGATTACCTTCATGTGCTCTTACATATGTAGAAATAACTTCATATCCTATAGCTACCCAATCAAATAGTAAATCTCCTGAAAATCTACGAATTATAGGAAATTTATTCAAATTATATAAGAATCTCATATAAATTGGTGAATAAAAAACATTATAAATGAAATCCCAAGAACACATTCTACCTTCAACAGTATCTAAATCCCATCTAACAGATTCAATTAGTAAATTATATGCTTTCCCTCCACATTAATTTTATGAATACAAATCCCAATATGTTTATTTTAAGGCCATTAAAAATCTATCTCTTGTTTCTATAATATTATCAGCATCAACATCATCATCATTATAATCATCTTATAATCCTTTACTTTTAAGTAATTTTTGAAATCGTCCAACTATACTAGATTCTTTTTCCTTTTTATGTTTAAAATCTTCATCTAATTATTTTTTACTAAGTTTATCATCTTTTTATTATATCTATTGATTAGCTTCAGCCAATCCTGAAAAGAATTCAACTTTATTCCAATCTATTGTTTTCTATTTATAATCTTCTTTCATTTAATTTAATTTAAATTCAATTTACTCTTTCATTTCTTGTAAAAAGTTCAATCTCACTTTCGCCCTATATTAAGCAGTTGCACATAATCCACTAAACTTAATGTATAAAGGTATTGTTGATCCATTGATTAGCATTGTTAAAATTACAATAAAAGTAGTATGAAATAAAAATATGTCACTCCATTAATCACTAAATGATGGTTCTTTAACTACTAGCAAAGCAAGCATCAATTATACAGCGCCTCTTGTACCACTATATGAAAATAATATAGCCTCACTCATTTTAACTTATTATCCATATAAATTAATAGTAGGTAAGAGTAACAATACACTTATGAATTTTGATAATAGTATATATAAATAAAGGAATACAGTATTAATATAATCTTGTTTTCGTATATAAGGACTTTGCTGATCAAATATTTTATATCCACATGTGACACCTGTAATTATAAAAATTATGGTTTCATTTGCAAATTGAATATATTACCAAAATATTTGTAATGGATGTTCTACTTCAGTTCTAATTCGAATTTTTGAAAAGGCAGACATGAATAGGCCTAAAGAAATCACTGCTACTAATCCATTCTTAGTAAATCCTAAATCTACAGATTCAGCTACGAAATATGTTACATATGCTGAAACAATTGTAAGATTGATTGTTAATATTGAATTGTGATTGACTCTTCTTATCCACCAAACTGTGAAGAATCCAAACATCACACCTACAAATGCTCCACCCAATAACAATGATATTCCATAGGATAATTCTACTGTCAAAAGATCACAATCTCCTCTTGCACAATTAACTGCAATAAGCATTAATACTATTGATGCACAATTATTAATTAAACTCTCTCCCTATACTAAAGATATAAACCTTTTTGGAGCTTCAGCGTTACTTAGTAGTTTTACGACTTGAAATGTATCAGTACATGTTACTACTACTCCAAATACAAAAGCAAATCCCCAACTATAAAATTCATCACTATAATTGAAGAGCAATTTCAATCCTAAACAAATTAAAGATGCTGAAATAAGAAGGCTGGGAAATGAAAGTACAAATATTTGCATAATCTATTGCTTCATTATATATATATCTGCATTAAAAGCACTACTAAACACTAATGCAGGCAAAAACAATGTCATATTCGAATTAGCATCTATGTTAAATGCAGCTTAGACTGTTCTATGCAGTAAATGATTATGAATATTATTAAATTAACATCCTATTAATATACCTACCAGAAAAACTGCAGCAGGGTATGGAATCATAATTTTTTTAGTTATTTCACTTACTATGCCTCCTATTGTCAGAGCAATAAAGATGAAAAAAATAACTATTGCTATTTGTGCCACTTCTAAATGTTCTGACATTAATTTTTTAAGAATTATTTTTATTTTAATTATATATACATTTATTTCAATTTTATTAATTAATTAATTTCAAACGCCATCCGAAAAGAAACACTATTAAGGATGCAACTGATACATTTACTATTGTTTATGAATTTCTTATTAAACATTCTTCTACAGTATCAATCAAACTTAATATTAATTCTACATAATTAATATCTAAAAATTGTTCAATTCCTGTTTAATCTATTTGTTTATACAAATTAACCAAGAAATCAATGACTTATACTTAAGCACTTGTTGGTAATATCGGAATTAATGAATAACTGTTAATAGATAACTCAAAAATTTCAATTGATTTTGTTCTATTAATATTAACACCCTAACCTAATGCATACATAAGACCTATATTAAAATAAACATGTGCTTTCATAGCATCAATTAATTAGCCTTCCAAAGCTTTCTTATAATGTAAAAAAGATTATTTAAAATCCACATCATCATATTTTCCATTATAATAATAATCCCCTAATTTCATATGACAAATAGCTTCTTTCTCCTTAGCACATTATGTAAGGAATCGATATTACAATACACCATTTAATCCAAAACTATCTAATTGTAATAGATCATATAAAGTGGATTTATTAACAAATTATAAATAATCTGAGTACAAATAACCAAAAGGATCATGATCATAAACTCCATTAATTTGAAAAACGGGATCATTATTGAGTCTATTTTATACATCACTAAAGTGTAGAGAATCATAATAAAAGGCATCATTTTATTCCATTATAACAGCAGCATTTTCTAATAAATGATTAAATTATAAATATATACATATGGCAACATTAAATCCAGTGTATCCAGCCTCAAAATATTTAGACAATGATTAAGCATACTATTCTTATTAAAATAAATAATTAGCTATTTTTAATGTATCAGCCCAAGGACCTCGTGATGATGAAGCATGTAATAAAGAGGCAGCTAAATCACAAGAATAAAATAAATCTACTCCATCTAATAAAATTAATGCTAAACTATATTGAGCCATAGCATGTCCAGTGGCAGCAGCTTATTCTATTAATTATACTCCTTTTGCTTAATTACGTTCTCTTTAAATTGTCGAAGGTAACATATATAAAGAACCTAAATTAAATTATCCGTCATTATTTTATAAATCTGCTGCTTCTATATATTATATTTTATTACAATTTACTTCTAAAATAATCTTATGCTTTTACTATGTCTTATGAAACTCCCAATCCTTTAAAATAAATGTAACCTAAAGCATTATAAATCTTTCCCTAAAATTCTTATTTTTTTGTTTCAATTTTATTCAAAATCTCCAATGCTAATTCATAATTTGGTTATCCAACTCCAAGGTTTTCAATATTCATCTATGCTACTTTAATTCCAGATTCTTTATCATTTAATTAATCATATAATTTATAATATAATTGATATGCCTTTTCATAATTCCTTCTTAATCCATTTAATCCATAATAAAAACTATATGCTAATTGTTTAACCTCAGTAGCTGAATCATATGTGATTAAATTTAAATTCTCAAATATTTAAGCATGTCCAAAAATATCCAATTCATGATTCATATAAAAATTACTGTCATATAAAGCTTTAGCTACTTATCTATTATCATTTATATATTTTGCTTTAATTGGTTAATTAGCAAATTCTTCTAAAACTGGCAAATAAAATAATGCAGAATTAGAACAATTCTAATTTACTCCTATTCCTTTTAAATGTCTATAACCCATTGCTATACTACTTTTATCTAAGCCTTAAATAGCAGAAAAGTAAAGATCGATTAAAGATACACTTTAATACTTTTCTTTAACATATCTATACAATTATGATTCTTTTTTAAGATTTTTATAAATGTTGTATGACCCATCTAAATTTAAATATGTTAATAAAGACACGTAAAATTAAGAATTTATATCACCTAGATCAGATGATTTCTTAAAATAAAAAAGAGCCTAATTATAATATGATACCATACTCTTGCAAAATCTATTCTATTTTCATTTTCCAAGCCGTAAAATATATATTACCCATACATCCTATAAAATCTAGATTGATATTATTTAGGTATTTCATCTTTAAAATACTATACGATTTCATTGAATGTCTATTAACTTTCTATTTATGACTATTCAATCTGAATTTCCCATTCTTTCAATAATTCATTTATATTGTTTTGAGCATATATGCCTAATAATAAAGTTAATATAATCATTTTAATAATGCAACACTCAATTTAAGAAATCTAAGCAATGTCCAAATTAACACTTTATAGAATGTTGATTAAGAATGTTTAATATTATCCTAGCAAAAATAAATTCAAAATTATGTTGGCAATCAAGGAATCGTATTTAATTAGATTTCTAATTATTTATTAGATTTCGAGAGCATAGGAGCCTAAATGATTCTAAAAAGATTATTTAAGAAATTAAAATAGCCTAAATGGGACTAAGAAATTTAGAAATGTATAGAATCAAAAATTAAGAAATGAAAGATGTTTACAAAGTTAAAGATGATGGATTCTAAGAGTCTATGAATCCAAAAGATAAAAATTTTATATATTTTTGAGTTAGACATCATGTAATTATTTCGAAATCATCCTCATCTGTAACTTAATAGAATTATTAAGAGTATTTCATATCATCATCTTCCTCTTCATCATTATTTATATGCTTTTAAGAATTCAATTCAAGCATTTCAAAATCAATTGTAAATAACAATCTAATACCACCACTTATTGGTTCATCATATGCTAAAATATTGAAAGAATCTTATGCTTCTTGTGGACCATATAAAATTCTATTCATCCAACCTTTTTATCCATTTTGAGGTAAAAAAGTAATATTAGGTTCTTAGTAACCTTTCAAAATCTAAGATTTTTCAAAACACTAACATAGTTCATCTTTTAAAAATAATTTTGAAATTGCATCCTTAGTATTCTACCTACAAAATTCTTGAATCGATTCTTCAATTTAAATTCTGGAATCACAAATTCCTCCAAGTATTGAAATAGTTGTATTTATTCCATTTTCTTGAACTTGTTGAATTATCTTTTTCTCATACATCAATAATTCTTAACAATTTACATTTAAATTTAGAATTTAAAATCGTTAACCACAATAATTAAAATTCTAAACAACTCCAATTTCTCTATTTTCTTATTTTATAATATAATCTTTAAAATCTGTGTTTTAAATATTTGATTTCGCAAATATAAAACTGTATTAATTTTCCTATAACTTTAAATCATAAACTTTACATTTTAACTAGAAAAAAGACATTCATATTATCCTAATTAAGATCTGATAGATGATTACATCTAATCTTTTATAAAATTGCATGGTTAACATATTTTAACAATGTTCTAAAATAACACTATTATAAATTATGGTATTCTACAAATATATGTTTTATTTAATTTACTATCTAGAATCAAATAAATGAAAAAAATCTTTTATTGACTTATTTTTAGCATTAAAGCTTATAACCATTATTAACAAATTTTTTTGAATTTAAGGAGATTGCTATTGAATTTATTCGACAATTCCTAAATATTATTTATTTTATTATTAATTCAACCCAACAATGAATGAATATATATTTTATTTATCTTCATCTGTGACATTTTAATTATAAAATCTAAATCAATTTGAACATTACCTTTAAAAACCTTTTAAACCATGTTCAATCATACCAGTCCATTTACTACCTCCAGTCATTTAAATTTTTGTTGTTGAAGAATTAGTTCCTGCATAGATTCTAGAAATATTGTCACCACTTTCTCCCCATAAAATTTTTATCAGTTTTATTAGATCATGAACCTTATCTTAATCTGACTAATAAGTAAATTAATCTATTTTACTAAATCTAAAATGGTTTCACATCTAAATTCTTTAGGAATATTGATTCCAAGATCATTCAATATAAGATTTGTAATAAAAAAGGCTATTTTAGTTTGAAAAACATTAGTTCTATCAAGACAATCTAAACAATTAGTTCTTACAACTCCATTTTGAATATTTACTAATTTAAAAATGAAAATATTTACTTAATTTTCCATTTTAAAATTTTGTATAAGATTATTAAATTAATATTTCTTTATTTTAATTAAGTAAAGGATTAAGTTTTTCAAACTTATAATTTTTACAATATTGTTTAAAATCAATATGGCAAAGAGTGATTTAAGGTATTTAAATTGAACTAACCATACTAATTAGAATAAAAATTTTGAATACTCTTTATAAGTTTAACTTATGATTGTTTCATTTGGTTTATCATTAGACATCAAATCAACTAATAAAAGAGATCCAAAATATTTCTTCAAATTCATAAGATGCTTTGTTAAAGCCATCTTTGTTTATTCATTATTTTATGTAATTTATGAAATAGCACGAATACCTACTTACTCCCAAAATACTGGCACAGATCCTCTAATTTATAAATGACAATAGAGTTTCTCTTAAAATTCAATTAACTATTCAGTTTCAACTGTATTTGCAGCTGCTCCTTCAATATTTAATCCTCTATGATTATATCGTGTGCCTCCTCTTAAAGTTTCTCTTCTTGAAATTAAAATATATATAATCTATTATTTTTATTGTGTTTTGATTTCACATTATGCTAAACCAACATATCCTTAAATAATTTTAATGCACCAACACTTTGGAATTTTTTATTCCAAAAATTATTTATAACCATGAAAATTCCACCAAAATCTCATACTTCTTTCACTTTATTCAGGTTAACATTATTATGATAATGGTATTGTTAAATCATATTATAATGAAAAATATGTGCATTTACTAAAATAGGCTTCAATATTTTTAATGCTTTATTACTCCACAGAAGAAAATTAATTCTATAAAACATTAGAAATAGAAACTATTTCATAAATCGTCTAACCATTTATTTTACAAACATGATTTGCCTCAGATATATAAAGTAGGTTATTTTTGCCATAGAATTTATAAATCCCAACAATACCAAATATTCCTATCTCTTAAATGTCTTAACCAATTATAGTTTGATTTAGCTATATGGTAAAATTTAATCGATCTATTGTTAGAGGTTTAGCAAATCCACATATTTAAGGGTTTGGTACAATCTTACTTTAGATCAATTTCATACATGTATTTTATCAGAAGTAATGAACATTTTCATTGGTTTAATCATTTTAATTAAATTTCTTATATTAAGAACTATGTAATTAATAAGTGATTATTAGAAATAATGCTATTGCTATAATATGGAAGATGGAAGATTTAAATATTATATAAATATATTCTATAATAGTATTGGGACATAAAATCTAGATCATCTAAAAAAGAACTATTAGAGTAAAATTAGATAAATACATGTTATTGAGATTGAGAACAAGATATTCTCGAATCTGGATCCAATTTTAGTAATTATAGTATAAGATCTAAACCATCTTATTCAATAAGATTTTAGAGTTTCTTTTTAATTAAATCACTAAATTAAATTTATAGATCAGAATCTTTGAGATTCTGAATTATTTAAATAATAGTTACCACAGCTTAAAATGATTAAACATTAGGAATAATCAATTTAAGTTAATGAATTTCATTTTCTCCTTGAAATAAAGGTTATTTAAGTAAAAGTTCTGCGAAAACACATCCTATAGCCCACATATCTATTGCTGTAGAATAATAATTTGATCCCAATAATAATTCAGGTGCTCTGTACCATAATGCACATACATCAGAAGTGAAAAATGATGGACATTTTTGAAATACTCTTGCACTTCCAAAATCTCCAATTTTGAGAGTTCCTAATAGAATAAATAATAATTTTTGACCATCTTCTTAAATAAGAATATTTTTTGGTTTAATATCTCTATGTATACAATTTAATCTATGACATGCCTCAACTCCTTATAATATATCACACATAAATTTCTAGCATAGTTTAAGTGTTACTTTTATTTATCCTAAACTTAATCTATCTTTATTTTCACTCAAATATTGTTACAAATCTAAATTCAAATATTCCATAACAACTCTTATTTACCCATGAATTTTTTCAACTTCAAGTATTCTAAAAGCTTATTATTTTTATTACTTGACTACATTCTTATGCTGAATGCGTCTCAAAAGTGATGTTTCTCTTAAAGCTGTTATAGGTACTCCACCCAAAATATCCTACTATTAATTTGATCTAAATACTTAATTTCGTATTTTTTTGACTGCTACATATTAATCTGTTCCAATTATGATTGCTTTGTATACATCTCCATTAAGACCTTAACCTATTTTAGCAAGTAAATGATATTTAGAAAGTGATTATTGAGACATTTTGGATTTAATTTAATATAAGTTGATTATCAAAAACAATAGACTTTTATTAGCAACAAAATTTGACTAATTCATTGATTTTATATATTTATATTGTATAATGCTAGAAGATCATTTGGCTGAAGCATTGCATTTATTAAAAAAATAACCATAACATAGATGCAAAATGGAAATAGATCTATTAGTTGACCTTACTTAAGAACTACCCTTTTTTAAATAATATTAAAAATAAGAGAATGGATTATTAATTCATCGTGAATGTTGTAAGCATATGTTTGTGGAACGGTTCTTAGCAACTGATATTGTATTTCATGTTGGTATGGAGACTCTATTAATAATGCAGATTCGATTGGCACTAAATTTTATGTGATTCTAAATGGTCAAGTTGAAGTTTTAATTAAGAGAAGAGGTTTTGATGAATTAGAATCTGTAAGAATTTTAAAACAAGGAGAATCTTTTGGAGAATTGGCTCTAATTCATAGATAACCAAGATTAGCAACTATACGTTGTGTGACTGATTGTTGTTTTGCTGTTTTAGATAAGTAATAATTTCAATAAATTTTACATTATGAGTAAACAAAAAAAATAGAATAAGTATATATAATCAATATTTTTAGAATGTTGATTATTTTTCTTAGATTTCAATTTTTCATCAACTCAATCGAGCTTAACTAACCTAAATTTATTTAAATTCATTTCTATATGAATATGAAAAACATTAAATTGTCTTGTAAGAAGGAGATAAATCTGATAGTTTTCTAATTGTCAAAACTGGTTTATTTTAAGTTAGAAAATAAATTAATAAATCTCATCCTTTAATTGTAATTAATATCCCCATCATAGTAGTTATTTGAAATTGCAGAATTACAAGTATTTGGATTTTATCATTTGTTTAATAAAATCCCATATGAGTATTCTATTGTTTGTCTTAGTCCTAAAGGATAAATCTATAAAATACATAGAACATCTTTAATTGAAAAAATATTTGAAGGACATACATAAGATTTAGAAAAACATATGTAAGAAATTAATTCTTATGTAAATTTTAAAGTTCATCAAGAATAAAATACTCATCTTAAATATCCAAGATTTTTTTAAATAAAAACATCGAATGAATAAGACAAAGAGATTCAAGAAGAATTTATAAGAACATGTAGAAATAAAGAATCCAGAAACAAAAATTTTAAAAGTAGAAATCAATTGATAAAATAAAAAATGGATTCCATGATTGAACAGTAGAAGAGAAAACTTGGACCGAAATTAAGTCATCCTAAATTCAATAGTTTATTTGAAATCTTTCTAAAGTCCCATAAAGGTTTAAAAGACAATTAAAGATAAAACAGCCCATCCTTATTAGAAACTCCAACAAGATAATTCGGAAGTAGTAGTCACTTTTATCATAATGATGATCTTACATAAAATCCGTTTATTACAATTAGAAGTAGTAGTCCTTAAATGATGAATAAAGGAAAACAATTTATAACTCTAAAAGTATCTAATAGTCAGAAAACAATTGTGAAACCGAATTTAAATCATAATATTAAATTCTAATTTCAAGAGTACTTGAATTCAAAGCATTTATACACTCAAAAAAGTGGTATATCATTAAGCCCAAAAGTAATGAAGCTTAAAGTGTATAAAAATTGACTCTTTATTATTTATTAATTTTAAACAATCAAATATATAATCAAGTTACTCTCTAAACTAATCAAAGCACTCATTAGTTATTTTTATACTAATACTTATAAAAAGATTTTCAATAATTTACCTAAAAAACCAAAAATAAGAATTAAGAAGAATAAAAGAAAAATTTATAAATTGTTTAATCAATTAATTCAGATCAATTTGATATTTTTTATTCTTGAGGAAGTTTTGGATTTTATTTAGATATTTTTCAAAAATTCACAAAATAGATTGAATATTTCTTTGAAGATGCTACATTATTTTCTTATAGTCTGATGTTATTGTCAACTTTTTATACGTAAGCCATTACACTTAAATAATTCATCAGATAATTTATGGCTTTTTATTAAGAATGATTAGTTTGAATAAAATGTTTGAAATTTACCAAATTTTTTAGCAAACAAATGATGATATTGGATCAATTTAATTTTTTTAAAAAAGTACTTCTTGATAATTTATAAATTATAAAGATTCTTAAAGAAACTGGATTATAGAATTAGGTATAAGATTTACCAATGTAAAAATAATCTGAAATATNAGAAATTAATTCTTATGTAAATTTTAAAGTTCATCAAGAATAAAATACTCATCTTAAATATCCAAGATTTTTTTAAATAAAAACATCGAATGAATAAGACAAAGAGATTCAAGAAGAATTTATAAGAACATGTAGAAATAAAGAATCCAGAAACAAAAATTTTAAAAGTAGAAATCAATTGATAAAATAAAAAATGGATTCCATGATTGAACAGTAGAAGAGAAAACTTGGACCGAAATTAAGTCATCCTAAATTCAATAGTTTATTTGAAATCTTTCTAAAGTCCCATAAAGGTTTAAAAGACAATTAAAGATAAAACAGCCCATCCTTATTAGAAACTCCAACAAGATAATTCGGAAGTAGTAGTCACTTTTATCATAATGATGATCTTACATAAAATCCGTTTATTACAATTAGAAGTAGTAGTCCTTAAATGATGAATAAAGGAAAACAATTTATAACTCTAAAAGTATCTAATAGTCAGAAAACAATTGTGAAACCGAATTTAAATCATAATATTAAATTCTAATTTCAAGAGTACTTGAATTCAAAGCATTTATACACTCAAAAAAGTGGTATATCATTAAGCCCAAAAGTAATGAAGCTTAAAGTGTATAAAAATTGACTCTTTATTATTTATTAATTTTAAACAATCAAATATATAATCAAGTTACTCTCTAAACTAATCAAAGCACTCATTAGTTATTTTTATACTAATACTTATAAAAAGATTTTCAATAATTTACCTAAAAAACCAAAAATAAGAATTAAGAAGAATAAAAGAAAAATTTATAAATTGTTTAATCAATTAATTCAGATCAATTTGATATTTTTTATTCTTGAGGAAGTTTTGGATTTTATTTAGATATTTTTCAAAAATTCACAAAATAGATTGAATATTTCTTTGAAGATGCTACATTATTTTCTTATAGTCTGATGTTATTGTCAACTTTTTATACGTAAGCCATTACACTTAAATAATTCATCAGATAATTTATGGCTTTTTATTAAGAATGATTAGTTTGAATAAAATGTTTGAAATTTACCAAATTTTTTAGCAAACAAATGATGATATTGGATCAATTTAATTTTTTTAAAAAAGTACTTCTTGATAATTTATAAATTATAAAGATTCTTAAAGAAACTGGATTATAGAATTAGGTATAAGATTTACCAATGTAAAAATAATCTGAAATATAGCCTATTTTCTATTTATTAAATATTTTTCATTTATTGAGAGTATTATTGAAAAAGAAAACAAAATCTTAATTTTAGATAAAGCTACTGCTAATTTAGAAATGGTTAGAGATGCTTTTATGTAATATACAATTAAAAAAAGTTCAATTAATTTATTATGATTACTTTTGCCCAAAGTTATGACAAAATTGATGATCTGTTAAAGTTAGATTTTAGATCAAGGGCATTATTTTTAAGTTTAATTGCTAACTCTAAAACATCTTATAGCTTTAATAAAGAAATTTTGGCTACGGTAACTATTAAATATGAATTAAAAATGTTTATGTTATTTATGAATTAGCTAGAAAATCTTATTTATAAAATATTTTAGGAAAAGAATACAAAAGAATCAAGAATATTATTTAATCTGGTAAGTAGAGAAAATCAGAATTATTTTCATAATATTGAATAAATGTTGATTAAAAAGATTTAACACTTATTAAACATTTAAGAGAGGCATTATTTCATATTCCAGCTTTTTCATTATTATCTTATGTATAATAATTTATATTGAAATATTTCAAGTTAAATTGTGTTTAATTATGATTTATTTTAATGTTCTGTCTAATTGACTGTCTAAAAATAGAGAAGTCTAAGGCATTAACAAAATGAATTTAAGTACCAATTTGAATTCTTGGTAGTAAATTAAAGTAATTACTTTATACATCAGTCCAATAATTATGATATAAAATACTATTGCACAACTATTAATGATCTAAAGATTAGCATAATATGTACCAAAATTTAATCAATCAGATTCTATGTAAAATGAACAAGTTCATCTTAAAATTATAATTTAATGTTCGAAACTGCATCATAACTTATCAATCCAATTTCAAGTTATTCATTAAGTGAATACTACTAAACACTAAAATTTTAAGAATTTTTATATTCATTTAGTAATTCATTCCTAACAGTATTTAATGCTAATTGAAATCCTCTTCTAACAACACCATCATAAACAGCATCGCAATGAATCTATGCACTTTCTATTTTAAACTAATTTTTAAATTTACAGAAATAATTACTTCAGGTAGAAATTCACAGACATCACTTTACATCAATTATTCTATTTTATTTATGAATGCTTCAGATGTTATCAAAGATTATGGATCAAATTCTGACATTTCTGCTAGAAATTGATTAATAGTATCTATATGTTCAAAAAACACTTAAATAAAATAAGTAGTATTTTTGATAAAGAAAAAAGCTTGTTAATCTTTATTAGATACTACATATATGATTTATCTTAAACTAAAAACACCAGTAGATGCAATACTTACATCACATAAGGTGTTAAAGAAGTAAGTAGTATCAGGATACTTAGTAAAATATGATTCTCCTAAAGATGTTGATATAAAACATAATCCAAAACATAAAGCATATATCGTTGAATAGATTACTAAAGATGGTATTTTAGTTGTTTTTTAATCAAAGTTTAGATTTGTAGCTTTTTATTTCTATTTATGTACTTTTTAATTCTAAGCTATTTTTTCCTTTCTAATATCTTCAGCAGCTAAGAATTTTTCTTTTAAATCAATATCAAACTAATATTTAAATAACACATCAGAATCTTTAATTACTAATGATGATATCCCTTTGTATCTATCTATATCTCTTTATACCCATACTATTTCTAATTAAGAAAATAGTTGTATAAATTAATCATACTATTATAAGTATAAATTGTGAAACTTAACAACTATCAATAAAAGTAGAAAACCTAAAATTAATGTAGGTATCATTAAAGATAGCCACTTCTCTTTAACAGTCACAGATCTTTATACAGAATATGATAACATATCTTAATTCACAATTGTTAATTACTCATAGAATGTTTGATAGTTACCAAATAAATACACAAAAAATCCAGATGTAGGATCCAAGGAAGTAAATATATTTAAATAATCTAATAATACGAATTAATAAGCTGCCTCTAAAGATAAATAAATTGCTTCTCTTGCAGATACATTTCTATTAGATGTAGTTGTTTATTCAGATTACATAATAGTAAAATTTTTATCCTAAAAAAATGGATTCAAATATTAATTTGATAATTGTTTTATATAGCTCGACTTTAATTCTTCATAATTATAAGCTACATCATTTTTCGCATATTCTAATTTTAAATCTGCAGTTGATTTATTCATCATTCCAATCATATTCAAAATAGCATAATTCATCACAGCATTTTAAGCAACAATATAATTGTCTATTGGTGCTACTATGTTTGATTTTATCTGAACCATATCAAGTTCTTATAAAAATCTATTTAAATCTTCAGATGAAAATATTATTTACACTATTGAAAAAACAACAAACAACAAAAACATTACTGTCAAAAAAGTTCTAGCTAAATAATAATGTTTTGAGAATTTCTCAGATGTTATCAATTTTTAAATCAAATCATATTTTTTAGAATATTTAGACTTTTTAAATGCTGCAACTGAACTTACTTATGATCCTACATCATCAATTTAAATAACATTCTAATCTTATTATTCTAATTACATTTACATTTTAATATTTTCTTGTAATTCTTAATCTATATCTTCTAATTATAACTTATCTATCTAATTCTCTTTTCTAATTTCATTATCACTTTCATTTTAACTTTCTTCTTCTGCATTTGATGAAATATTCTTTTAATCAATAGCTGAAAAAAATTATTGTCTAACATCATTATTTCTTCTACTATTATTCTCATATAATCCTCCTTCAATCGATCTAGCATCTATCAATTTTTATCCTACATCTTTTGGACTTACCAAAGATACATTTGGATAAAATGATTAACTTTAATTCTTTAAATTTTAAAAGGGTCTCCTACCAAATTAAGCATCACTTTCAGATTAATCTTTTTCTAAATTCATCTATTGATTTTAATTTTCTTATTAATCAAATTCTAAAGCTCTTGGTATGTTAGCATAAAATTCATCTTATTCAAAAAATTCCAAATCTTCAAAATCATCTAGATTATCTTAAAATTAAGTTTAGGATGCTCCAGGTATTGGAGTTACATTTTCTGTTTGTTAAGGTGTACTAAAACTTTTTAAATATCTTTTAGCTTCTCTAATCTCTACAATTACATAACTACTAGATGTATCTTATTTCAATTTTCTAAAATGAAATACTGCATCTACAACAAATTATTAACTATTAATTTCAATATCCCAATTATATTTTTAATTCTAAATTAAACAATCAACTTCTGGTAGAATCATATGAATCTAATACTCACTCTAATCCATTACATCTTATTCTAAATCATCATTATCGTATGAAAATTTAGTTGCATTCATTTCCATAACATTTTATAATTTTGGAAAAATTTTTGATAATGGTTATTTATTTAATGCTTCCATTAATGTTGAAATTAATTTAACTGGATATCCAATTTTACTAACAAAATTTTTGCTAATACTTTAAATTTTGTTGTTGTTACAACAAAACATAAAAGCATTTTAGTTATCTTTATTCTAAAAAAAACAAGCAAATGTTAAATCATCTAAATTACTTACATTAATATCAAAGAAAAATTCTATCGATTTTATAAATTTCTGTTGGAATCTGCAATAATTTTGGTTTATCAAACGAAAGAATTTTGAATAACCAGATTATAAAAAATGTTATACAAATTTAGAATGGATTGATTCAAAATTATTAGGAAGAAGATGATCAATAGTTTTAATTAACTTAAATTTTTCTTAATTATATCCGAAAAAATCATGAATTTAATTAGAACATGATCTTATTTATAATTTATGAGATTTTTCATCAAATCCTACTATTAAGTAATCTAATTTGCTTGAAAACATATCAAAACTAATTTAAGATTGCATTTTAAAGAGTTTTTCATCAGATATTGAAGTTACTGTAGCTAATTTATATGCTTAAAAATAATTATTCAATACTTCTGACTAATAAAAAGTATTAAGTGCTTACATTTTACGACCTTTAAATTAATATAAATTAATACATACTTGGGAATTAGAAATATAGCTTAAATAATTCATCTTCAAGTTCAGTTAATTTTATAAGCATTTATTTAGCTGAATTAAATAAATTAAAATTTGAATTTAGTAAAGTTAAATTAACAAAAAAATCTTTTTTTTTATTAATCATTTTTAAGATCTTATTTTTCAATTTTTTATTACTCTCCTCTGATTTTAAAAATAATTTTACGGCATGTTCCAGATTATCAGACATTATTTAATTACTTTATTTACCTAAACCTGTGCTCATTGTCTTCTTAATTAATTCTTACATTAATATTAATCTCTATTTATATATAAATCCCATATTATGAATCTTTATGTGAATCACTTCTTCTGGTTTACTATCAACTTTAGATTTTTAAACAGAACTGTTTTATTAATCTAAACTATTACTAGACCCAGCCTTTTAACTTCCAGACTTTCCAATTAGTATTTTACTAAATTATGATGAACTGCTAAATATTACTTTATATTTACAGATTTTCACTCTCTTGATACACAATAATATTTGATTATTAAAATGCTCTTGTGCTTAATCCTAAATAATGGATCAAAGATAAATAGTGCAAAAAATATAATTATTTATTTGATTATTATTTAAGCTTATTAATTGTTAAGTTAAAATAATCCACTTAATCTTTTAAATATAGAATTATAATTTACTCAAATGTTAATTATTGTTGAGTACATTAGCATTTTGGTGTTGAGCAATGCTATAAATGTATTGATTTAAAATAAATTATTTGTATTATTTTGCAATTATCATGTAAATAAGAATTTTTAATATCTCCAAATTCATCAATTATTGAAGCAATTTTATATAACATTAAATAACTAACCATTGTTTAATTATTATTTAATATTATGCTATAATGCACATTATTATAAAGAATAATCGGAACTAACGTTGCTATAGGTACAATTATAAGTATTAAGGCAGTTTCATAATCTTTGTATTAAGATTTAAATTATGATAATTGAATAAAAACTAATATTAAGGACATGGAGAATTAAAAGCATTCTGAGAATAAATCAATCAAACACCGTTTATAAATGTTTTAAAATGTTACAAAAATGCTGTAAATATTGAATGTTGATTTTATTAATAAGATAGTAACAATTAAGTAAAACCGCAATTGTTAATCATTTCTTTCAAATTGATTTAAACATACGATTAAAATTGTAAAGATTGGATTTAAATAATGATTAAAGGATTAAGATAACATGTTTAGATTTCTTACTTTTATGTGATTAGATTATTAGATACAAGCTAAATAAAAAATTAAATTCAAAATGATCAAAATAAAAGAAATGAATGATATTGGTAAAAGAACTAAATTTAAATTTTCTTCTTGTGAATAATATAAAATTGATGAGCTTATTAATTCTAATTGAGGGATAAAAATTAAATAATAAAGTAATGCTTACTTATAAGAGTAGATTCTCAAAATAATTAGAAAAAATCTATTTTATTCTTAAAGTAGCTCTGACATTCTCTTTTGTTTTTTGAATCTAGCGAATTAGATGAAAATATAGAAAATTATAGCCTCATATAAAAATAAAAGCATCAAAGGGATGATAAATGAAATTTAACCAAAATTTTTAGGCATCTTTATATAAGGTCTAGTAAATGTAGAAACATCTAAAAAAAATTATTTGAATCCAATATGCTCTGTATTTTAGAAAAAGTAATTTTAAAAAGCAAAGCTCAATTACTAAAATGAGGAAAGTATAATGACAATATATTAAAATGATTAATTGATTTGAACCATCTCATCATCCATAAATATCTTAACTTAAATAACAAAAGAAGCATAAAGAGTTTTGTAATTCATTCTCTCTTTTTCTAACTTTTTCTTTTTCATATACATTTTGCTTAATTAAGAATTATTGAATTAATTTCAAAGTACAAAAAACATAAAAAGATAAGAAAATACAAAATGAATTAAATAGCAATCTGATATTTAAAACAGAATTGAGAAATTTCGTTTTTGTAAACAGTATAAAAGACTTTGGAGTTCATATTAACAGTCGTTCCATTGTAACATTTAGAAAAAAGAAAAATATCATATGATCTAATTTTCTTAAATCTTTAAAATTGATGTTTTATGCAGTTATTGTTCTTGACCATTAATAATATAATAATTTATAATAAATAATCAATTTAATATTTTTATGTATTAATAATAAAGAAATGAAATAACACCACAAACAAAGGGTTAACATAATTAAAATTTCTAGGGATATCCAATAGATGAGCCTGTTTTATAAGCTGTAATGAGTGTCGCTTAAATACAAAACCTCTATCCAAAAATGACTGATTTCAATAAAGCATTAAATCTAAATTAAATTTCAAAAAAAGCAATATTTTTGATACTAAGAAGTGCAAGTTTAGATAATATTCATAAAGGAATGAAGTATGGAGTATGGACTAGGTAACAAATATTTAAGTAAATCTAATAATAGTACTCCAAAATCAAATGCAAGGATAGATGAATTGTTTAAAGAGTCAGAAGAAGTTTATTTAATATATTCAGTAGTAGGCACAAAAGCCTTTTAAGCATGTGCAAAATTGCTTGGCCCTTTTGATCCAACAGCAACATTTCTTTATTGGGATGAACCTTTGAAATGGTTTGGCTCATTTTAAATTAAATGCGTATTTCTAATATCTTAATTAAGTTATTCTTAAATGAATTAAAATAGAAAACACTTGATGAAAAATAGCCAGCACATCTAGGTTCAATAGTTTTAACTGAATAAACTGATTGCACTGAAATTACAACTGCTTTAGGAATGTTTGTACTTCAATGTTTTAAAGATTTATAAGAAGACGATACACATGTTAATGTTCTACTTTAATAATTTTAAAATATGGATAGGAGAGAAGTATCATTTATTAAATAAGGAAGGATTAAATCAAATAACAAAGAGATCTTGATTAAAATTTCTTAACTCAATAATCTCATGAGTAATAATTATTTGAAAAGTCTCCTTTTGAATACAAAAACTATCATAAAAGATAAAATTAATAAAGATGGTAAACTAAATAGGCTGATCAAATGATGTATATGCGAGGTATTTATATAGATAATATTTATTTTAGCCTATTACTCAGCCAATTAATAATATGCAGGCTAACAGTATCAAGGCTAAAATTAATAAATGTATAATTAATATAGGTATTTTTATTTTGTCATATTAAAGAAATGATAATAAATAATAGTACAATAATTATGATTATTAATATTATTATCCATAATAATAATACTAACAAAGTAATAACTAATTCAAATATGGATATGATTAATAATAATAATATAACTAAAATCCTCATTATTAAAGATAACCATAAAAATATTAAAAGAAATATTATAATAATTATAACAATTAACAATAAACTAATTTCTAGTAGAACAATAATCAACAAAATAATTACTAATAAAATAATTATCAGTAAAATAATAATTATTCTGCTAACAACCAAAAATATCAAAAACATAATGATGAATAGTCTGTAAATAACTAAGACAAATAGTTTTGAGTTATGAATATTATTTTCATAAAATAAATGTGCATTTATATTCATTTAGTTAATTAAATATATTTAAAGTTTAAACAAATAAAAAAGACTAATAATTTAAGTTTTTATGTCAAAAAGTTTTAATAAGTATTTATAAATTGAAAACAAATTATATTTAAAGTGATATTGACATTACATAATTTTAATGATTATATGTAAATATTCATTTTTTTTTCTTTAAACTTTCTAAAGCCATATCTCTTAAAGCCTTTTAAGTTAATAATTTATTATATTGTTGCTATTAGGATTCCTATTTTAATAATTCATCTTCATTAAATTATTTATTAGATCCTTTGAATTCTTTGAGTGGAATTTCATCTAAAAGTAGTGTACTTTGAGCAATACTTTAGTTTTAAGCAATTTTTTCTCTAAAATATGATAGATATTAAAATACTTAGCAACAGCCAGATCTATAAATCTTTCAAGATCTTATAAATATTTTTCTAAAGAGCTTTCATTAAGATTAAATGATAATTTATAATCTAGATGTGCAGTTGGATCAGATGCCTTAATGAGATAAAAATATGAATTACCAATTATGTTTAAGATAATTCAATTAAAGCATCTTTTAAAGTAGGTGCTATTTCTTCCATTTATTTTCTAAGTGTATTGATTTCTTCCTATTTTTTCTTAATGATTAAATCATTTTTTTTTTTATGTCTTTCAGCTTATGGAGTAGCCATAAGTAATCTTTTTTTGCTATCATTTTCAACTCTTTATGAATCAATTTTTTTTTTTAAATCTTAATTTTAATCTTGCAATTAATCAATTTATTAAGATAATATATCTACATAATTATAAAGAGAATAGTTTTATTCTTCACTTTTAATAAATGTATTCATAATTTCTTCTATATCTTAAATACCTGACGCTTCTTTTATTTGATTAAATGCATCTTCAATCACTTTCATATTTTTCCAATATGTATCAATTAATTTAACCTTCTCTTTATTATTAGAAATCAATTTCTTTAATCTAAGTTTTAATGTTGAAGCAGTGTCAATATTAGCAGCCTTCTCTTTTCTTTAACCTAAATTATCTAAATCATGTTTTTTTTTCTCTTCCATAACCTCTTTTTTTAATCTATCGAATTATTCGACATATTTATCTTTTTCTTAATCATTTTTTTTTTTCATCTCAGCTATTGTTTCCTTCTTTTTCTAAGCTTATATTTCATTTGAATTACGAAATGCCTCATTTGCGACAGTTTCATTTTCTATTCTTAATAATTCCTCCTATAAATCTTAATGAATATTTATATATTAATGTCTTTCTTTTCTTAACATATTTATCTATTTTTTTAAATCTAAATTATATGTTTATGATTCATTGTATTTTAATATTGATTATTCTAAAGCATTTTATAAATTTTTGATTTTATTTAATTATTGTTTAGCAGCTGGCAATGTTTAATCATGTTAAATCTAGTATAAAAAAGAATGATTATACTTTTTTTATTTATTCTTTTTTTTATTACCATTCCTTTTTTGTTGTTACCCAAGTTTCTTCAATATTATAATGATGTTTTTTATCTTGTTCTACTTTTCTAATGTAATTTTCACTTTCTCTTTGTAGTGAAAGTACTTGAGATTCATGAAGAATGCTTTAAGTCTAAGAAATGTTTGAATTAGGAGCTGAATTATATCCAAAAAACATTTAATAAATAAATAAATAATATTAATTTTACAAACTTATTAAAGTACTGCAATTATGTACATGAATATAATAATATTCTTCTAGGAGTGATTTAACAATAGAATATCAAAAAGCAATGACATAAGGAAAAGTGCTTGAGTGTCATTTATAACATCCAGGATTAGGATGCATTTCTTTTGCTTTATTGAAGTATGAAATATTGTTTAACATATATTTTTAGATTTCTTTTGACAGGAAAACGATTTTCTATATTTTTTATACCAATGCATTTTATTCCTATCTTAATTTTTAAAAGAAAAGAACTTAGATCAAAGTAATTCTTAAATTAAAATAGTCCATTCAATACACTTAAAAAGGCTTCTTAGAATTGTTTGAAATCTTTGCTTTTCCTATCATCAATGGTAGGAATCATTAGATTAACAATATGTTCATTAAAAAAGTTATAAAGACCATTAGGAGGTATTATATATGAAATTGAAATTTAAAAGGAATCGATGGATTGATAATTGGTACATTGAGTGGAACTTCAATAATTTTAGAATCAGATGGAAGAGGATTTGAAATGACTCTTTAACTCTTTCCTCGTTTCTGTGAAGCAGTTTATAATCATTTTCATAAGAAATTTCCAAAATTATAAATGAAAAATTTTGAATTATTACTATTTAGTATGTTGATTGGACTTATTCATTATTGTTATTAACATAATGTAATTTAATATTTAAATAATAGAATTTAGTTATTAAATCAACATATTTAGCATTATTTAAATATTTTTGGGGAAAGAATTGATAATGATTATTTATTTGATATATTATTACTAATCATTTTTTATTTAAATTACTATTTATAGGCATTTAAATTTGTGATTTTGGTTGAGTTCTTTATGTATTACTTACTTATTTTTGAACTTCAAATTATTTATAAAGTTAAGCTAATGTTGGGTTTTAATGTTCACTAACAGGTTTTGATTAAGGTGAAATAGCAATTTTTTTATTTTATGGACTGATTAACTATTTTAAATAGTTTTATTGATTGAAATTTTAATGTGTAGGACTTAAACTTAATTATTATTATTGTTATTTTTATGTAGAAGTGAATTCTTTTTAACTAATAAGTGGTCTAAATAGAATTATAAATATATTACTTAGATTTAGCATTTTATAATAATTTTTAAGTTTTTAATAATTTACTTTACAATTCTGGATCTAATGAAATACTATTAGGTAGATTAGAAATTAAATAAGTATCTTTTTTGTCTTAAGATTTACTCAAAGTTGACTCAGTAGGTACCTAAGCAATGAGATAAAGTGTCTACTGTTTTTTATGTTTATAAGGAATCTAGATCTAATAAAGCTTAGAGAAGGTAAGATCTTTGAACTTCGACTTCTCTATTAAATGTGTATCCTATAAAATTAACATCTTTTCTTGCTGATTTACCAGAGCTTTGTAATAAAAATAAATAATTACTCTTAAGGTACCCAAGGTTCTTATTCTTCAAATTTATCAAAATTTCTAGTATCTAATTCTGATTTAATTTCTGGTATATAAGGAGATACTTTAGATCTAAGATTTTTCCAATCAATTCCAGCAAAAAAAGGATGAGCTTTAATTTCATTGACACCATTAATTCCTAATCTATTAGAAGCATCTGTCATAAGTCTTAAAATTAAATCTGTCGCAGCAGGAGAAAGTTTAGCTTCTTATGGAATAACAAGAGTTTTCTTCCAATTAATTATTTTCTAACAAGTTGATGAAGGATCATCAGAAAAGAATGGTGGATATCCAACTAACATTTCAAATAATATTGCTCCCAATGACCACCAATCAGCAGTCTCATTATAGCCTGTCTTTCCAAATACTTCAGGTGCTATATAATCAGGTGTTCCTACTGTACTGTAAGCCTTAATTCTATTTCGTTTAAAACTTGTTGTATTTCCTCCTTTATCTTCTGGCTTATGAACACTTATTCTTTCATCTAATCTTGTTCCACTTGATTCCACATATTTACATAATCCAAAATCACTCAATTTTATATGTCCATCTGCTTATAATAGAATATTATCTGGTTTTAAATCTCTATGAATATATTTTAATTTATGAACTGAATCAACTGCCCTATACTTATTCATAAATACATCTTACATTATTGATTCTGCCATATAAAATTAAGATTCTTTTTCAGTGAATATATCTTTCTTCATTAATAATGTCATCAAATCTCCTCCTGGTAAATATTCCATTACTAAATATAGATATCTTTCATTATATAATTTAATACTTCTCATCTTAAAATGAACATTTTAATTAAACAATCCATGCATTATCTGATGCTGCTAATAAATCTCTCTCTGCTCTTACATGACAAACCTTTCTAAATTTACTTTTAATACTTAATTTTTATAAAGCATTTCAGATTTTTTCATTTTCTTTACTGCAACTATATCATTTGTTAATTTATTTCGACACAATCTCACTTCTCCAAAAGCACCTCTTCCAATTATTTCTATTGATTCAAAGTCTTTTATATTCTATTTCTATCTCTGTAATCTCAATATCTCAGCCTCTTTGTGAAGCAAGTCCTATTTTATTACTTATTGCTCTATTGGTGTATAATTTAGATTTGTCAATTTTTGAATTAATTGTTCCCACTTCTCTCTCTTTTCCTTCTATTCATAAAGTAGCTTCTAGTATTTCTTTTCTATATATTATTTTGCAGCCTCCACTCTCTCTTTTGTTGATTATGATACCTTTAATCTTTATGTTTTAGAAGGGTCCATAATAAATATTAATTAATATTTTCAAAAATTCATTATCACAAAACCATATTCATATAATATCTCCAAACATTTCTCTATTTTTTATTTATATATAAACCGTTTACTAAATAATATTATACTATTTTTTAATTCACAACACAATTTTATAAATATTCCCAAATATTTTTAATAGAATTTCTTCTTTCTTAATATATCTATTAAAAAAAGTTCATTTCTTTCAAACATGTCAATTAACATCAATTTAAATCTTAAATTTATATCTTCAACAAAATTCAAAGTTTACTATCATCTCTATTACAAAATTCACTTATTCTTCAAACCATATAACATTTCTATTTTACTTAAAAATATATAACACAACAAGATTACTATAATATTAATTTCTCTTTACAAAATTAAGATTGCTTTTTAGAAATAAGCTCAATATTTCATTTTTAAATTAAATATTAATAAATATTATGGTTTTCTAATAATGATTATTAAAAAAACCTCTATATTAGATAACCTTTATAAATTAAGAATAAAAAAATAAAATGAATATATTTAATAAATTATAATTTATTTTTTATCAGTCTTAATTATTTTTAGGAAATTATAATTTAATCTAAACTAACATAAAGTTCCCATAATTTAAAAAAAAATTAAAAAAAAAAAACAGAATCAAATTATATTTATAATATAAAATGAATTGAAAAAAAAGGACCTACTTGGATTCGAACCAAGGTCTTGAGGGTTAAAGCCTCAGGTACTAACCACTATACGATAGATCCTATAGTTATTCAGATTGTGTTTTAATGCTATTTGAAACTCTTGATTTTTAGAAATAAATTGATATATTTCATAAATTAATATTATATTTATATATATTTAACAAATATGTTTTTAAATGTTAAAATACCTATATATATCAAATTCATTAATTTTTAAAACTTAATTCCCATTCACCTTTTTTTTATATGTCCTTTTAATATTACCAAAATCCATTAAATGTTTGAGTCTAGTCATTTAATTATCCATAATATATTAAAATGTCTTCCCCTTAAACTAATAGATCATCATAAATTTTTCTAGAGAATGTTTCAACTTGATTCATTTTATTAATTATGATCTCACCTATCAAAATCCAACTTCCATAAAAATCTGACCCATGAATATTAAAAGTCAAAGAGTCAAAATTAGATGTAATTTATACTTTTTATAATTTCTATTCCATCCATTGATTATTAAAGTAAAATTTAAACTCAATATTATCTCTCTTAAATTTTTAGGCAATGGAATTCAATTTCTAATTTTATTCATCCTTATTATTATGGTTTTCAAAATTCATGGATTTACTGTTGGGGATTTTATTATTAGTTGAGAATATTTTTGAAAGGAAAAATGTTATAAGTCCTAATATCAAAATAGTTGAAAGAAATTATAAAAACGATGTTTCCTCTTAATTTTGATCTATCGAAGTAAATTACTGTTCCTAAGAGTTATAGTTTTATTCAGATATATAATTATCTTCGCTATTTCTTTGATATTCGCTCGGCTAGCATTGGATTATCAAATGCAATAAATTTAGAATAAATAATTTCATTTTTAGTTTAAATATTTAATGAAGATTATAATAAAAATGAAAATATGAATTTTGTTATGTGGCATATTTGTCACAATAATATCAAAACTATTAAAAATATATTAAAAATATATTAAAAATATCTGCCTATAAATTATGTGTAAATATTAAAAATCATGGAATAATAAATAAATATATTTAATAAATAATATGAAAATTTATGAACAGAACTTAAAGTTAATTTAAACGAAAAATAGCATAAATAAATTCACTCGTAGTTATCTTAATTAAATAAATCATCTTCTCCATCTTTATTATAATAATAATTTAAAGTCTAAACAATAATTTTTATAGCCAAAAATTGGTAATCAATATAATTATCATCAATAACTCAACAATATGAAAAATATGTTAAAATTCTTGGAATAGATTATTTTGGCAGTTGAAATGTTTAATTTACTAATTTATAGTCAAATAATGCCTAAATTAAAAGTATTTGCAATCTATATTAAAAATAAACCTAATTGGAAAAATCAATTAAATAACTAAAAATAATGAAAAAACTAATTAATTTTTTTTGTGAGAATTATACTACAGAGAATAAATCTTTTAATATTACTTATTGTTCTTAATAATAATCATGATGAGATTACTCAAATAATCTTAGTAAATATACAGAAATAATTATAGTTTAAATTGAATAGATTGCAATCACATTTAAATAAAATAATATTTTTAAGACAATGGAGACTTCAAAAATTCATTACCGACTAGATAACTCTTAATTAAAGTACTATTAGTTTAAAAAACTTAGGATTTGAATCCTACTGATCAATTAAAAAAAATAACTAAAATATTTATTAGTTATCTTTAATAGAATTTTAAAATAATAATGAACTAGATTTAATCAATTATAAAGTGTTAAAAGGAAAATAATTATGAAATATTGGAATAGTTTTAATTAATAAATATAAATTAGGGAAAATGAAAATAATCATCTTTAACTTTAGATAAATTTAGTTTAATTGAACCGACCTTTATTTCTAATAAAGAAAAATAAATTTAATTAAATCATATTAATAGACTATGGTTTGATAATATTCCTAACAAATATAAGAGTTTGTTTAAGGTTAAAAATAAAGGGAAAATGAGATGAAACAAACTTTGAGATTATAATTTCACAAACTTAACATTTTNAAATAATATGAAAATTTATGAACAGAACTTAAAGTTAATTTAAACGAAAAATAGCATAAATAAATTCACTCGTAGTTATCTTAATTAAATAAATCATCTTCTCCATCTTTATTATAATAATAATTTAAAGTCTAAACAATAATTTTTATAGCCAAAAATTGGTAATCAATATAATTATCATCAATAACTCAACAATATGAAAAATATGTTAAAATTCTTGGAATAGATTATTTTGGCAGTTGAAATGTTTAATTTACTAATTTATAGTCAAATAATGCCTAAATTAAAAGTATTTGCAATCTATATTAAAAATAAACCTAATTGGAAAAATCAATTAAATAACTAAAAATAATGAAAAAACTAATTAATTTTTTTTGTGAGAATTATACTACAGAGAATAAATCTTTTAATATTACTTATTGTTCTTAATAATAATCATGATGAGATTACTCAAATAATCTTAGTAAATATACAGAAATAATTATAGTTTAAATTGAATAGATTGCAATCACATTTAAATAAAATAATATTTTTAAGACAATGGAGACTTCAAAAATTCATTACCGACTAGATAACTCTTAATTAAAGTACTATTAGTTTAAAAAACTTAGGATTTGAATCCTACTGATCAATTAAAAAAAATAACTAAAATATTTATTAGTTATCTTTAATAGAATTTTAAAATAATAATGAACTAGATTTAATCAATTATAAAGTGTTAAAAGGAAAATAATTATGAAATATTGGAATAGTTTTAATTAATAAATATAAATTAGGGAAAATGAAAATAATCATCTTTAACTTTAGATAAATTTAGTTTAATTGAACCGACCTTTATTTCTAATAAAGAAAAATAAATTTAATTAAATCATATTAATAGACTATGGTTTGATAATATTCCTAACAAATATAAGAGTTTGTTTAAGGTTAAAAATAAAGGGAAAATGAGATGAAACAAACTTTGAGATTATAATTTCACAAACTTAACATTTTCTAAATGGAAAATTTTTTAGATTCAAGAAATTTTAACGAAAAGATGACATATGTATTTAAATTTAATTTAAAGGATAAAAATTATAGCCATTTTAAGGGATTCATGTAAATAATGTTAACCTTTTAATTGAAAATCATAATTTAAAAGATATGTTAAATTATAGATGAAACAGGTCAGTTGCCATTTTAGAAATTTCTCTTAATTTATACAATAAAATTATTAAGAAAAAAAAAATAAATAAATAAAAATATATTTGATTAGGTTTAAACATGAATATTTATTTAAAATTATATTTATCTTATTATAGAATCACTCTGTTTAATAGGTTGTTGAAGAATTAAAGATAAATTTTTGAGATTGTATTGTTTTTGAAGGTGACTAAGAATCTCCTTTGAATTTTTATGGTATTGATTGAAATTTTAATCTATCCATAAATATTTAAACAGTATGTTCACTTTTAATGGTTCTTTGACTAAATATTTATTGAGGACTTTCTATTTAATTCTGTATTTTTTCAATTAAAAATTCTCTACGAGATTAACCTCCTTTAGCATTTAGAATGATATCTGCTATATTAAGTTTAGTTTTTAAGATTGTATCATGAACTTTTAAGTCATTTTTTTACCATTTCAATCCTAAAATTAAAGAATAAAAATAATGTAATTACGATTTGGTTTTAAGAACTTAGACATTCCTCTTTATGTCAAATAACCAGATTCAATGATTTATTTTTTTATGAGATATTCTTTTTCTTCATTTTAGATATGTTTCTTCAATTCACATCTTTTAAAGGAAAGAAATGGAATATGAACAAATTATGCAATAGACCTTCCAGTAACAGGAGTATTTGTTGATTGAGGAGTAGCAAACATATTTGTTGTACTAGCTGATTTAACATGAAATTTAAATGATTTTTTCTTTAGTCCTATATCCATCTTATTGATATAATTATTATATAAAATTAGATATAATGAAATCAAATAAATTTACTTGGAGTTGCCCTTAAGATATAAAAAAGAAATGTAATGGCTTTTACAATCTGTCTAGCTCTGAGTTTATATGCATCACAATATTTTGTTTTTTCAGAAGTCCTAAAAAATAGAGCTTCTTAAGCATCTATTGTAAAAACAGAAGGTAAAGAGATATAAAGAAGACTACTTTTTTATCATAAAACAGCGCTAATAAATAACATTATTAGAAACTCAAATTAATAACAAAAAAATAAAAACTTAATAGAAAAGATGTTTGAAATTGATGATTCTCGACAAAGAAGGTTGAGTTGTTCATGTTATGAATGTGGTAAAAAATCAATAAAAATGAATAAATTTCATAATGTTTATTAAAAATAAGAATAGACATCAAAAGAAGTATAATCAAGTCTAATTCTGTAGTAGCAATAATTAACATAGCTTACTATTTCAACAAAATCATTAAAATCAAATGTAACTCTTCTCTCAATTCCAGATATTAGTCCAAAAAACATTTATAAAAAATAGAGAGTCCATTATCTAAAAAATATAAATAAAACCAAAAATTAACCTCTTCTTCATTAATTAATTTGAAACCATATCTTTATGAATCACCTTAGAAAAAAATTATTAATCTTTAAACAGAATAAACATAATTGATACTTAAACCTATTTCTTTAGGATTCTCAGCTCCAAATCTAGAAATTTTTGATTATTCTTCTAAAAACTGTAGTTCAAAATAGGAAAATCTAATAAAAACTTTAAACTAGAGTAATAAGTACAAACTACTAGAAATCTAACTAATAGGATGCTTCAGATTTGCTATTTGAGACCATTCTCATGTATCTCAAATAGAAATAGTTTTATGAATACATAAAGAAAAGAATAACAATTTTGAAATTAAATTTTTATTATTTTTTGATTATAATGCTTTTTTTTTTTAGATAGTTTATTTTTCTAGAGTTTTCAATAAAAAAATGATCATATTGAATTTTTCTGTATTTTATATTTAGTAGGAAAAATAAAAAAAAATTAAATAAATGATAAGTATTTAAAATAAATAATTTCAATTTTGAATATTAAATCATAATTAGAAATAATAACAAATTATAATTTTTATAGTTTATAATTTACAGAAATTTTGTACACTATGAAATAAAACCAAAAAAATAAAGAAAGTTAAACAAAAAATTACAAGTCAAAAATCTAAAACTATATTAAACAATAACAAAAAGATCCATAAAAGAAGGACATGACAAATGAAAAAATCCTAACATAAATGATTCATGATTCTTTAATTATCCAAGATGAACAAAATTTTAAAACTACAACATTTGATAAAATCAAAGAATCTTAATGGAAATATCAAGTTTCAAGTAATTATATTTTTTAAAATAGAACAAATGCTTAATAAAATAATGAATAAAAATGATAAAATATTAAACATTATATCATCTATTTTGCTTATATTAGATGGATATTTCCATTTTAATAGTAAAAAAATAAACTTGATTTATGTAAAAGTTCCATAAGTCTTAATTTATCAAAGTTTTTTTTTACTTCAATCTACTGAAAATTTTAGCATATTATTTGAGGTTGGTTTACATAAATCAGTAGATAATTCTAAATAATAAGTATATCTATTTAAATTATTATAAGATACAATTTATTTGTTTTGATATTACTCAAAAAATCACACTAATAGATATATTCTTTTATCAAAAAGGATCTGAAATTACAGATACAATTTAAGAATATTAGAGAAATAATTTCAAAAACTTCTTTAGATCTGAACTAAATTAAATAGAATGCATTAGTCTACCATTAACAGGGATTAATGCCAAATAATAAAGTTACTTATTTAAAGTTGAAAAACAAGTATGGCCTGAATCTACTTATTAATAATTAGATTCAAAATTAATTTAATGGATACCTTTAAGATTTAAGTAGTCAACAGAATAAAAATAGAATATGCTATCTAAAGGATAATAGTTAATAAAGAAATCTTTTTATGAAAAAATTAATAATTAGTAACATTATGAAGAAGTTGGAAATTAAAATAAATATAAATTGATATAATTTGCTGATTTTGAATCTGCAGGGTAAATTTTAGATTTACTTGAAAAATCTTCATAATTTAAAATAAAACTATCAACTTAAGAAAAATAAATCGTTAGTACAAAAAATAATGCATTAGTTATTGGTAGAAGTGGAACAGGTAAAACAACAAGTATTGTCTTAAGAGTATTTGCAACAGAGATGTTGGTGAAAGTAAGAAGTAAATTATTAGGTTAAAAAAGAATATAATTTTTGTAAGATTATTAGGGTAAAGAAGTTTAAATACATTCAATATTTTCAACAGCTAATAAGTTTTTAGTTTAAGAAGTTGAAAAATATTATAACAAATTAGAAAGATAAGCAAAAGATTCTCTAAATAAACATAGAGAGAAATAAACATTTAATTCAGATGAATCCTTGTAATTTAATTATTTATATAAATTAGTGTTTCAATTAATGAAAGTGTTATTACAAACTATGAATGTGATGTATTAGATTTTGTTTTACAAGAGGATTAATTATTATAATCTTAATAAGAATCCAATACTTCTTTTGATAATTCTAAATGGAATTAAAAATCATTTTAATAAGTCAATTTTCCTGGTTTTCTTTCAACAGAGTAAATCTTAATGCTATTAGATAAATAATCTTTAAATCCATTTTTCTCTAATGATAAAATCGGTAAATTTAGACAAAAGCATTAAGACAAAATAGGATTCTAAGATTATAATGGAATTAATTTAGACGAATGGTTTCCTTAAAACGATAAATAATCAAATTAATCTTAATTTTCATATTATTCAAGTAATGAGCAAAAAAAAGATATTATTGTTCCTGAGGTAGATTTTATGTTTTTTTATTTATAATTTTGGCCTTAATTTGCTAGAAAAGGAAGAAACAACTTTAATAATATTTCCCTTCCATCATTAATTTGGACATAGATATATTCATACATTAAAGGTTCTTAATATTCATACATGTATCCTAATAAATGTCTTCCTTTATAGTTGTATAAAGAAAGAGTTGGAAATTATTTGAATGAAGAATAAATTTAAGAAATTTATCTGTGTTTTGAAAGTTATGAAAAATGGAAAGAATAAGAATAAATTCTAGATTAATTAGATATTATCAATTCCTTATTAGAAAATATTGAATAAAATAAATTTATTAAATTTCCTATTCATTATTCTTATATAGATGAAGTTTAAGACTTACCATAAGCTATGATTGAACTTTTTTGTAAAATAACAGAATAAGGAGTTATATTTTGTGGAGATACTGCTTAAAGTATTTTAAAAGGTGTGGGTTTCAGATTTTCCGATTTATAAACCTTATTTAAAACATCTAAATAAATAGGATCTAATTAATTAGAGAAATTTTAAATATATCAGTTAACAACTAATTTTAGATCTCATAATAGTATTCTATAATTAGCAAATTGCATAATTACATTATTAGAATTATTATTTCCAAATTCAATAGATCATTTAAAAAAAGAAATCTCAAATTTAAAGGGTCCAAAACCTATTATTATTTCTAAGAATGATCCTGGATTGATTTGGAATTGTTTAAATTAAGATTCTGATGCTGAAGAATAATGTGATATAGAATTTGGTTTTAATTAAGTTATAATAGTTAAAAATTAAGAAGCTAAAGAAGCTCTACCAGATTAATTTAAAAGAGCAGCAAGAGTATTAACAACTTATCAAGCAAAAGGATTAGAATTTGATGACGTCATTATATATAATTGTTTTAGTTATGATCCAATACCTTAATAATAATGGTCATTTTTATCTTGCATTGATGTAGATGAATTTTATATTGATAAATAAGTTTTCGAAGAATCAATAACAAGTATTTATATATATATATGAATTAGAACATTAAGAATAAAATAACATTTATGATTGGAAATTTACAGAAGATTAAAAATCAGTTGTTTAAAAAAAGATAAAATTAAATTAAAATTATAATAAATAGAAAGTCAATGAGTATTCAAGTTTATGTAATGAATTAAAAATGCTTTATGTATGTATTACAAGAGCTAAAAAAAGAGTTGTCATATATGATGATGATCCAAGTTAAAGATCGTATTTAGAAAAGATATTAAAGCAATATGATGTTTGTGATTTTATTAATGAATATTATCAAATTTAGTAAGTAATGAAAAATAGATAGGATAAATTAAAGTTATATTAATAATATATATAAAATAAGCAAACATAATAGAATGAGCTTTAATAAGAATAATAAGATAGATAACGAAGAATATTAAATGAGTAAGAAAAATAAGAATGGGAGTAATAAGGATAATTGATGTTTTAAAAAAAGTTTTATGATGAAGCTGAGAAATGTTTTCATAGATGTGCAAATAAAAAGATGGAATGTTTATCTTCAGCTTTCAATTTAGCTACTAGAGGATCTTTAAAATTAGCAAATTATAAATCATTTTAAATTTAATATAAGGCAAATCCAACTTTGGAATTGAAGAAAAAAATAGAAGAATTAGAATAATAATTAACTTAAGATTTTGAATAAGCGGCTAAAAAATTTTTAAATCCATAAATAAATGACTAATTTTAGGCTGCAAATTGTTATTATTCTGGTATGATGTATGAAATTAGCACAATATTATTTTTAAATTAAAATCTATATCCCTAAGCTGCAAAAAGTTCAAAGAGATTAAAACCATTAACACTTGCTATTGTGATTTATTATAAGTTAGGTAGATTGACAAAAGTAGTAGATCTATTATAAAAAAGTTAATAGGATGAATTCTTCAAATATGAAGTTCTTAAATAATGTCTTTCTAAAAACCTTTTAAATAAAGATTAAGTTGAACAATATTTACTGAATTAATAATACGAACAATTAAATATTTTTAATTAACTAGTTGAGAAATCTTAAGGCAAAAATAATCATAAAATAGATAAGGAAGATTTTATAAATAAAAATTTTTCAAAAAATATTATTTAATAGGTTGCAATTAAAGATCTTTTTGAAAAAGAATTGGAGGCTATACTTGATTCTCAAATTTAAATTATAAATGATCTTGAAGAGATGATGTTTGAGTAATTGAAAGTATTTTGGAATTTATATTTTGAAATTCTTGACTAGAAAATGATTTTGAACCCATTTATTAAAAAAGAAATTTCTAATCTTTTTGAGGGAAAATAAATTAAAATAAATGAAAAATCAAAAGAATTTGCTATTGAAGTATTAGAACAATTGAATCAATATTAAATTTTAATAGTCTTGTATCCAGAAAAACTATTATTATCATATAATGGTTTTCCAAGTTTAAAGTTTAAAGAATAAGAAATTAAAGAGAATTATTACTCAAATATATTTGATTCATAAACAAGACTTCTAGAATTAATATTTTTAGGTAAATTTGAAGAATTGAGAAAAATAATGAAACAGTAAAATGAAGATTAAAGATAATAATATCTAGAATTATCTGATTTATTATTAAAAAAGAAACATATTCTGGATGTAAAAAATGAAAATATATTACTTATTAAGAGCTTTTATCTTCTAGGATAATATTCTTAACTAAATAAAAATAAGGGGTATAACGAATTTAGTTAACATATGAAGTCTATAATTGGTGTAAAATTCTGTCACAGATTCAGATTATTTTTCAAATTGCATAAATAAATATAATCGGATCTAGAATTAACTGAAGAAAATGTAAATTTATTATTTAATCTTGAAAATTAATAAGAATAATTTATGATAATCTTGTACTTTTATTATTATTATAAATTTGAGAAGTTTGAAGAAAAATTTATTAAGAATTTTAATTTTTAATAGATAATATAGGTAGAGAAATTATTATTCATGGTTAATAATTTATTAAAAGGAGACTTTAAAGATAACGAATATTAAAGAAATGTATTTGCAGCTATTTGTTCACTCTATGGTTTTTATGTTTCAGAATCAAAATATCTTAATGTCTTTGGTTAAAGTATGATTATTTAATTCTCAATGAACTCTGATGATTTTTCTTTCGAGGAAAATAACTTGTATATATAAAAAATTATAGAATTTCCAAAAAAATACTAAGAAGAATGGCCTATTGAAATTCTATTTGAAAAGATGATTCAAACAAAGTCTTATTAAAATGATATTTGGTATGAGGTTTTAGATCAAAATAACAATTTCATCCCAGATTTAATATTGATCATTGATTAAATGTGCTATGAGATTTAAAATAGTGAGATTTCCAAATAATAGTAAAAACAACTTATTATTAAAGTCATTTAAATTTTAGATTCATCGATAGTTTAGATTCCTAAATCTGTACAAGATATTATTATATAATTAAAATTTGGATTTATGTGCAATTTAATAAGTTTTTATACTTATTGTAAAAACATTATATCGATAGAATCTATTGAATATTGGGTTAAGTTTCATTATGAATTTAACTAATATAGACTGTATCATATAGATATTTTAAAATTTGAAATTAATTAGGTAATCATGATTTTGATTTTATTTTTTAATCATGATTATATTTCATAATAGTAAGAAAAAAATAAAAGAGAAATATAACTTAAATATATCATTATTGATGAAGATTATTTCACTAAAATAAATGATCAATTAATTTAATAGATCGATTAAATAGTAATTTTTAAATCTAAGGAGATTGATAAATTAGAATCACCAAATGATATTTAATCAAATTAAGAAGAAATAGAGTAATCGAATCAAATTTAATAAACTTAAATTTAAGTAAATTAATAGTAAATAGATATTGACTCAAAAAGTTAAGAAAAGTTGTAATCAGATTAATAAAATGAGTCGATAAAACAAGATGAATAATCTTAAGATGATAAAAAGAACTCTTTAGATAAAGAAAATAAGTCATTCGATTAAGATAAATTATAAAATAAAGATTAGTAATAAGATTAAGATATGAAATAAGATTAAGATAAATAAGATAAGTAATAAAATTAAGATAAGTAATAAAATTAAGATAAGTAATAAAATTTAGATAAGTAATAAAATTAAGATAAAAAATAAAATTAAGATAAGTAATAAAATTAAGATAAAAAATAAAATTAAGATAAAAAATCATTTGATAAAGACAAAAAGATAAAAAATCATGAAGCAGTTAATAAAATTGAAGAAGATTAAAAGAAATTAAAAAGCTAATAATCTAAGAAAAATCAAAAATAGAGATAACCAAATTAAGGGTAGGAAAAATAAATTAAAACTTCATCTTTGAATTAGACTTAAACAGAAATTCCCAATTCGAATTAACAATTCGATTTTTTAATCTTTGAATCATAAAATAATAACCTACATTTTTTATCCAAAATTTATAAATGTTATCATAATGAAATACCCATAGATTATAAGTATAATTATAAATAGCTAGAATATTTATTGTTAGACGTTTATAAAATTTTGACAAGATTCATAATTGAAAGTAAAGACGAAAATTTTATAACTTATATTCATCATCAATTAATTTTATTAAATGAAAACCTTTTTAGATTAAAATTAAATGATTTGTTATACCAAGAAGTTTTAGATTTAATTAAATCATTATAAAAAGATCAAAAGTTACAGCAAAACTGCCCTAACTAAACAAAATAGGATGAACTAATAAATGAAAAATAAAATTTATAAGAATAAAATGATAAAAAAAATTAAAATTCTGAAGAAACTTCTGATAAAATTGAAAAACCTTTATAAAAAGATGAAATAGTTAAAGATGAAGACAAGATGAAAATAGTCTAAGAAAAAAATAAACATGAAGATGTCATAAAAGCAAATAATAAAATTGTAGATGATCCCAATCTTATGAATTAATAAATTTAATCAAATATAGAAGAATGTGAAGTAAAATAATTTAATACAAGCTATTCAATATTATTATAACTTTAAGTTTAGATGACACTTAGAAAAAGCTTTAATTATAACATGAGTGATATAAATAATATTTAATTATTTGAAGGAGAATAAATTTGCTGCAAAATAAATTTTGATGATTTTGATTAACCTTATTATCTTGAATAAAATCAAATAAACTATAAATATTTTAATTATCAAATAACTGAAAAGGGTATTTCATATTTAGATTTTAGAAATAAAATAAAATCTTAAATTAAAATTGATGACAAATAAAAAAATGAAATTTATTAAAAAATTGACAAACTAAAAAAGTAAAAATATATATTTAAATATTATATTTTTAGAGTCTTACACAAATGCATTAAAGAATCCAAATAATCTTCTTATTCATTATTTAAAGAATTAGTATCTTTATTGAAAAGAGTTAGTGATATTGAATTTGAACTAGAATCAAAAGAAAAGTACTTTATAAAATATATATAGATAAACTGATTTTAATAATAAACTGGATGAAATTATAACAAAATTAAAGTAATATTCAGATTAAAATAAAAAAAAAGATTAGATATTTATTAGATTAGGAAAAATGTTGGCTCAAATATGAAATAATAACATTATAAATTTATAAATATTATCTAAATTTACTTGATGGAAATTCTCTAATAAAACTTGAAATAATTTGGATAAGATATCTCTTTCTCTCGAAGAAAATTTTTTGCTCAACGACTCTGATAATTTTTAAGTATTTCAGTAGCAGTAGATTTAATTGAATGGGAAATTTTTTTGTTGAGAATAGTTTATCTCTAACATTGGTAATAAAAAAGTTAGATTTGATAAAAATGTAGATAAAGAAAATTGTAAGGAAATAGACCTTAATATATATTTTGGATTGATATAATAATAATATATAAAATAAATGAAAGTTTAAGAGTAATTAGAATTAAATGTGTCAATAAATAGAAATACTCAGAGATTATGAATTAATATATATAATAGAAATATATATTTTTGATGATGTCTATATAATCAACTCATTAAATCTTCAACTTCATCAACTAAGTCTTACATATCTATTACTATTTTATTAATTATTGATTCTAATTTCATTAGGTCATTTGAAAGTTTATTATCTTCAAGTTTACAAATTAATGATAAATATTATTTATACATGTTTTCAAATTCTTTTCTCATTTATATCAATTTATTCTGGGTTGAAAATCTGATTTATTTTAGTTTTTGTTGAGTAATAGATAATGAATTGTCCTATTGTTATTTTGACTACATTTAACTAATTTCACTTATTGCAATATCTCTTTTACCTTTCAATACTTTGATCAAATCATTTAACTATTATTATTATTGTTTTTCAATTTAAATTTATTTATTAAGTCCTTTGATATCATCTTCTTTTTTAAGAATAATTTTTTTTAAATCTTGAATTTCTTCTTTCCATTTTGTATTTTCTAATTAGATTTATAATTCAATAGATTTTTATTAATCTAATTATTGTAATTAATTGATGAATTTATTGTTTTCTTTTATTAATAAATTGATTTATTATTATTTAGATTCAATCTCCTATCTACTTTTAGATTATTAATCTGCTAACTATTGTAGTACCATATTATAGTTTCTACTTATTTATCTATTTTCTTAACTCTATTTATCAATTTCTTAAACTTACAAATTAATTTTATGAAGTTAATCCTTATTCAATTAAATATATTCTTAGATTTCTTTTTGTAATGCTTCTATTCTTTATTTGTATTGTTCATCATTACTTTTATCAAGTTCAATAAATGCAGCATTAATTTCTTATAATTCTTTATCATCAATTTAATTATTATTCCAATTAACTTAAGCTTAAATAGTTTACAATTCTTTTTTTGATTATTCTAATTCGCATTCTAAAATTTCTTTCTTTCTTAATTCATTATCAGCATCCACTTACATTTCAATCATGGCTTATTCTAATTCTTTACTACGATTTTCTTTTTCTTATAATTCTTATGCCATTCTTTTTCTTTCTTTTTCAAGCATCTCAAATTTGTTCAACATAGGTAAAAATTATTAACAAACATCATCATATCCTCTTTATAGTCTATTTATATAATCTTCCATTTAATGTAGAATATTAGAAAAATCCTCAATTGAGTATTACCATAAATTATCTTTTGGAATATTATAATTTTTAAAAGCCAATTAATCAAAAGTAGGAAAGGTTTCAATTTAATGTTGTTTAGGTTGTTATTCTTTAACTATAACCTTTTGTGCTGTTAATTTAGCATTTTCAATAAAATTCTTTATCATAATTATTATGAATCGATTTTAGAAATGGGAATTTTGCTTAGGGTAATGTAAAAAGTGATAAAAAAATTAGTATTTATGAAAATAGAGCTGATATAAATGAATAAAGGTAAAAGAAATATGATGAATATTCTAAATTGAAAATGAATGTAAAAACGACAGAGGATGATAAAAATGAAATAATGAAAGATATTAATAGAACTTATTAGGAAATGGGATCATTTCATTTGGAATAAAACAAAAACATAATGTGCAATGTGTTATTATTATGGTGTAGTTAAAGTTTATCTTATCGTCAAGGTATTAAAAACATTTAAATGTTAGGAATGAATGAGATTGTAGGAGTAATATTTTATACACATGTATAATCATTTTAAGATTGTCAAGAGTAAAATGCAACCAAGATAGAGAATGATATTTATTGGGTTTTTAAGACAATAATGGATGAGGGAGATCATAAATAAAATTTTAATTATTCATCTCAAATGCCTATAGATAGAATATCTTTGATAAGATACATAAAGGATTTGACAATGAATAAATTGAAATATGTTGATGAATAGTTATTTTAAATATTTGAATAGAATCAAATAAGTACAGAAATATTTTTGATGAAATGGATTAAAGTATGATATGATTTAGATATATGTGTTTACTAGCAAGAGAGTATGAGATTGAATAAATTTAATTGATTTGGGATAAGATGTTCGAGAAGTTTAAGAAAATCAAACTGAAATTTTTAGATGCCATGGTATTAACTATGATGATTTAATTAAAACCTTAATGTAAAAAATTAAAGATTAATATTATAAGTACTCAAGATTGAATACATAAACAATTTTGAAGTTTTGTTATTATTCCAAAATTACCCAGCAAAGGATAACTATTAATAAATGATTGCATAGGCAGAAAAAATAGAAAGTAAAACATATATATGATAATAAATATAGAATAATTAAGAGGATTGGAGAAAACATCATGGATTGAGATTATAAAGAGATTCAATATACCTTACACTTTAATGATTTATTTTCGGAATAATTGAACTATTGATTTGAATTAATGGATATAAAATTCTCTATTTTTTTATTCTAATTTTAAATAATTACAAAAATATAAATTAATTTGAATGGAAAAAGTTTTAAGTTATGATTAGATTGTATAGAAATTGATAGAATTTTGTCATAAGAATTAAGATGAAGAAATTAGTTAGATTGAAGCAACTAAAATATTGAATTAGATGAGTATTAAAAATGGACATTAAGAATTTAACTATGAGATTGCAGTTGAATTATTTGAAAGAGTTACTTCTTATAATACATAATTAACAATTCAAACATTAGCCCATGTATTATATGAAGCTAATGATATAATAATAAATAAATATAACCATGCAATGAATAGAGAAATGTATATGGAAGAATAAAAAGCATATCTAAAATAAATAAAACCATATGATAATTCAACAAATCTTCACATAAGCTATGTGAAAATATAAGAAACTCATGTATAAAGACCATATATAGTTGTTCTTATAGGAGAATTTCACCATGAAAGTGAAATACAAACAAGGAATAATGGATGGTTTGAATGGAATCTTAATGTTTAAATTCCAGTTAAATCTCTTGTAGCAGATTTAAAAATAGAATTATTAGAAGATCATAATATAGTTGCAAGTTTACAATTACCTTTTGAAGCTTTGCCTATGAATGAAATGAAGGAAGCTGAATTATAAATGTAAAATGTTAATTGCCACACTTTAATACAATTATAATGTATGCTGATTATTGGTAACAATTATCAGGAGTTAATTGATGAAAAAATGAATTTCTTAGAAAATCAAACTTAAATATGCTAAGAAGAATTATTTCTACTCTAATCTTAATTACATGAATTAAATAAACCTTTTTTTAGAGATGTTAATATCTAACCAAAATATACTAACTATTCTAATAAGTCTAATTTAAACACTGAAATCTTTTTAAACATTCCTGATAAAAATAGTCTCTAACCACCCTCTCTTTAAGCAACAGCTTTCAGAAACACTTCATCAGCATTAGGATTCAAAAAGATTGTAATTGAGCAAGAGCGTAAATTACATTCCTATCCTATTATGGCTAGAATTGATCTATTAGCAACTATTATTGCAGTATCAATATTTTATAAAATTATAGGTACTCTCAATGATCATTAATTTTATTACTCCCGATATAAGTGTTACTTATATTATGATTATTGTATTTTCAATAATGTTGAAACATAAATACACATTGATATACATCTTAATTGTTGTAACTATAGGGATTATTATTGAAATCTTTACTTTAAGCCATTAGCATCTCAACATATTTGCAATATTGTTAATTGTTTTGAATATGTTATTTAATTTTGGATTGCTTGTCCTTACAGGTTTATTATTAAATGATGTCGAAAATGTGTCTATTCTTAAATCAAAGCTTTTACTACCTTTATGATTAATTTAATTTATGTTTACACTCAAGAAATATTTATACGATATTGCCTATGGAGAAAGGAAAGTAAAGAATAGACTTACATTCTTTGTTATACTCATTTCAGGATACACAGGATTCTAAATGGGAATCAATTAATCAGAAAAATTAGACACATCTTCTCTATATTAATTTAACGGGTAAGATGAAGAAATTTATAATCTCTTAAAAACAAAACCTGTTTTTTAATTAATTTATCCACCTGGAGAACCTTATTTTGATATTTATAGAACTGCATTTATAAAAGCATCAAATAAATTTAAGTACAATATTATTATTTTATTTGATAAGCTCACTTTGTTTTAGTTAATACAAATTAACATTTTCAATATTGTAGAAATATTGATCTTTCAAGATTACCTTAAGGTTTATTATGGTTACCACAAAATTACAATCTTGAAAAATTAGAAAAATTTAAATAAGAAGGAGTTTTTCCAGTTGTTGAATTTCTTAAAGATTATTCAGTAGAAGGAATAGAATGTTTCTTCTAAGAAAATGGGGTAATACCTAAAAAATAGTCAACAGACAAATTCACTTAATAAATTAGAGTATTTATGTGATATTATAATTATTCAATTAAATAATTAAAAAAATTATATTCTAAATACTTTAAATTAAAAAACCATTATTAATGATTATGAGGTTCTTGTTCTTTTAATTTAAACCTTTTTTTATTTAAATGGATTTATATGAGAGAGAAATAAAATTATGAATTATTAAATAAAAATGTGATTATTCAATATTAAATATTAAAAAATTGGATAATAAAATGATGTTTCACATTTAAGTTAAATTGAGTAAGTAAATATCAATCATTAAACTTTCATTCTTTTCACTATTTTTGCACTCTGTTTATTTTAATTCACTAATCTAAATGCCAAAGGAGATGATCTTAATGAGTTATAAACAGCTGTCTCTGTAATATTTCGATTAACTGTTCTACCTCTTATTTCATAATCAGTATCTCTTCTTTTGGAGCAAGATGAATATGATTTCATTCTTTAAGCAGTATATTTTGGCTAAAGATATTTTGTTTATTATGTTTATTAGGAATCACTTTAAGTTTGTTGATGGCCATCAATTTATCTCACAAAATAACAAAGATATCGATTTAATTAATTTATCAACAAATCTTTAATCTAATCATTTTAATCAGAAGAAAAAAAAGATCTTAAGCTGTTTATTGTGTCAAGAACACATTATTTCAATTACTTAGACAATTACTTTATTTCTATAAATTCTTAAGCATTAGCTTTTTAATCTAAAATAGGAATTACTAAAGATGAATCACATTTTTATTCAAGTTTAAATTCCAATTCTTGAACAAATTTCAATTTTTCATCAATTTATTAGAGCGTATCTTCCTTTAATTGAGGCTTATTATTGAGTGTCATTATCTATTAATTTATAAATTCAAATTAAGTCTTGATTTTTTTAGATTCATCAAGTAATTAAATTATCATTTAGTTAAAATATTCCATTCTTATGTTTATTGTGTCAGAAATAGGCGACGTAATAGTTTCTTGAAATTTACTTGTTTTAGGCAATTTCTATCTAATTTCATCTAATTAATTTTATAATTCTTAAATTCTAATATCTGATCTTTAAAATATTCGTTACATCATGTCTGAAGTAAGGATAGATCCTTATCTTTAAAGAATTGCAGATTTTCTAGCTTTTTTTCTAGGAGAAGATTGAGCACTATCTATTTCTTCTTATGAAACATCAGCTCTTTTTGGACTATCACAATATGTTACACTTTCTCCTTCTTTTTGAATAAGCTAGTGATGCAAATTTTGAATTTCAAAATTCTTTTATTTATTAAATGCTTGAAATGATACTTTTTATTCAAATATTTCAGCACTTATTGATTCTAATTTCTCATTAAGATATTCAGATTCTCTTTACAAACGTTATGTTTTTTATATAGCAATTTATAATTCGTCTTTCATTACAACTTTTTAAAATGTAGAGTTGATGACACTTAATTATTATTTAAAGTCATTTAATTTTGAATTCTACTCCTTAATTTATTCTTATATTAATTTTTGTTCTTCTGTTGTTTCTTTTTATATCATTAATATTTTCTCTGATAATATCTTACAAACTTAATTAACTCTATCTTCAAAAACTCTCTAATCATTTTTAGTCGCATATACTTTTAATTTATTATTAGCTAAATCATCAACTTTTTTATCAACTAATTCATTTAATACAGAAATCTATCTGTCTTTAATAAATTAAATGTTATCCTAAATAATATCCATTTATTATTTAGTTCCCATCTCTCCTTATAATCTATCTATTCTTTGTTGAATCTAATTTTTGATATTATCCAATTCAATACAAGTCACAAAGTCTCTTCTCATTAAATCTTAAATTTTTGTTATTTCTGAATGATCTATTTTAGAAGTCAATGATGTTTCAAATTAATCAAGACGAGTTTTATAGTTTTAAGTCAATCTATCATTTTACAACAAGATTCCTGTATATTCTTTATATTTTTAATTCATTTCTTTAAAATTGATTCTCATCTGATTATTTATTTCTCTATTTTATTTAGCTTCTTCTAAAATACTATGATAATATATATAAATTTTAACCTATGCATTTCATCAATCCAAGGTTAGATTTACATAATATAAACAGAATGTCTGTTAAGAATTTCATCATAACGAATTGTAAATTTTGAATGCTATGATTCTATTGAGCTAAGTCTCTCTTAGATCTTTAATTATGAGTTTAAAAGTTAGATTGTATCACTCATCAAATCAACCCTTGGATTATTTGTAATAAACACATCCAAAGCTGACAATTTTTATTACATCTAAGAAATCTAATTAAGATGAGGAAGAAATGATTTGTTCAGTTGTTCGATAGATTCTTCAAGTTTAATAAATCGTAATTATTCATTCATTAATATTATAAATGTATATCTCTGAAAAAGGATTCCATAAGATCTTAAACACTTATGATAAATAAGATTTAAGAAAACATATTGATTGGACAACAGATTTTAATCATGAGTTACCTATTAAAGGTATTAGTGATCCTAGACCAATCACAATACCTGAAGCATTCAAATAAGACTGTACATTATTTTTGAATAAACCTGCTTTCTCTTATAAAAGAAATAAAATATAGTAGTCAATGAGCTATGGAGCATATTACAGTGCAGTTTTGGACTTTGCATCTGCATTAATTGAAATCAATGTAACTGAGTTAAGCGCAGTTAATATTATTGGCTTTAATGCACCTGAATGGAATATTGCATTTATGGGTAGTATACATGCACATAATCTTCCTGTTGGAATTTATACTACTAATAATCCTGAAGCTTGTTTTTATGTAAGTTAACATTCTGAATGTGAATTACTTATTGCAGATACACGTGAACAATTGAAAAAATATCTTACTATTTGGGATCGATTACCTAAATTGAAAGCTGTGGTACTATATAATGATAATGTAAATCATATTACGAACATTCCTACAAATAGAAAGGTATATAATTGGAATGATTTTTTGGAAATTGGAAAAAAATCTAAAAATCTTAATTTAGTTGAAGAAAGATATAATTAATTACAACCTGGGAATTGTTGTACTTTGATATATACTTCTGGAACAACAGGTAATCCGAAAGGTGTAATGCTTTCTCATGATAACTATATGTTTACAGTTGCATAACATCTTAAGAAATATAAAATAGATGATGAAATAAGAATAGTAAGTTATTTACCTTTAAGTCATGTGGCAGCATAATTAGTTGATATAGTAGGAATATTTAGATGGGGTGGTCACTTATATTATGCTAATCCAGATGCATTATAAGGTTCTTTAATAGTGACATTAAAAGAAGTAAGACCAACTTTTTTTTTGGGAGTTCCTAGAGTTTGGGAGAAAATTTATGAAGAGATGCAAAAAGTAGGAAAATCTAATGGATTCATAAAGAATTTAATTGCAAAATGGGCGAAATAATTAGGTAAGGATGGTACATTTGCATAAACTCATAATTAATAACCACCAACTTGTTTTGGTTTAGCAGAGAGTATAGTTTATAAATAAGTAAAGAAAGCATTAGGATTAGATAAGGCAGTATATTTATTATTTGGAGCAGCTCCTTTAAGTCCAGAAATAAGAGAGTATTTTTTATCATTAAATATGTAAATATTATATTTATTTCTAGGTATCTTATTAATGCTTATGGTATGAGTGAATGTGGAGGTGTATAGACACTTTCTTTACCAGAAGATTTTGAAAAATTTGATAGTTTTTTTATGAAGAGTGCTGGAAAAGCTTTGGAGGGAACTATAATGAAAATTTAAAACGCTGATAAAGATGGAAATGGAGAGATATGTTATAAAGGTAGACATATATTTATGGGTTATTATAAAGATGATCAATCTACTAAATAAACTATAGATGAAGATGGTTTTTTACATTCAGGTGATGTAGGAAGAATTGATAAGAATGGAAATTTAATAATTACAGGAAGAATAAAAGAATTGATTATTACTGCTGGAGGAGAGAACATTGCTCCTATTCTTATAGAGAATGAAGTTAAAAATAATCTTGAATTTGTTTCTAATTGTATGGTTATAGGGGATAATCGAAAATATTTAGCAATTTTATTAACTTTAAAATAAGATTAATCATAAGTAGGAAAATTAGCACCAGAAGTTATTAGTGAATTTAATGCTTAAGGATCTTTGGCTACAACTGTAGAAGATGCCAAATTAGATCCAATAATTTAGAGATACATTTAAAGGTTAATAGATAAAACTAATTCATCAGTAATCTCATAGGCTTAATAAATAAGAAAATGGACTATTATTGAAGGAGATTTCACTATTGAGACTGGTGAATTGACTCCCACTCTTAAATTAAAAAGAAAAATAGTCGAAAAAAAATGGTAAGGAGAAATTGAAAGAATGTATTAATTTGCCAAACTTTGAATTATATTATTAGTAACCATAAGTTTTAAATGTTGAATTCATTAATATTATTAAGAAACACATCCAATATTTTACTATTGCGATTACTTCTACTCTTTATTTCATATTCCTGCACATAACTTTTTCTTGCCATTCCATAAATTTAACTACTCTTATGCCCTGTCTGAAGTACCATCTTAGCAAAAATAGAATCAATATCTATATAAATTGATATCTTTGGATTCTAAACTAATAGTTCATAAGAATGTCCTTATTCTAATACCTTACCATCTTCTAATACTAACACCTTATTATAATCTGCTATTGTATTCAATCCATGTGCTATTGTAAATATTGTACAATCATTAATTTATGTTTATTATTTATAATATTAAACAAACAATCTGTCATCATATCAACATTTGCAGTTGCCTGATCTAATATTAAAATCTTCCTCTTATTTATTAAAAATCTGCTTAAACAAATCAATTATTTCTTACCTATTGAAAATAACTCTGGCTCTATTTATGTTCCAGACCTTATGCTAATTATTATATAAATCCTTCTAAACCTGTCTCACATAAACATTCAATAATGTTTTATCATCAAAATATTAAAAAGGGTCAAGATTTACTCTTAAGGTGCCTTTGAAAAGAAAAGGTACTTAAGGTATTATACTAATTTCTTATCTTAACTTATATAAATTTATTTTGCGAATATCTTAATCATCTATTAAAAGAAAACTAATAATTATTATTTACAAAACTATACCCAGTATTCTATATTGAATTTAATCTGAATAAACTAGAAATTACTGTCTTTCCAACAATCCCAACCCTCTCCTTGTCATTTATTTTCAAACTCATTCCCTTTAAAACTAAAGACATCTTTATATTTCATTGTAACATTTTAATAATTTATAGAATCTAACCTCGGCCAATTTTTCATCTCTAATTCACCAACTGGCTCTGCTTTTTCCATTTCTAAATGACATATTTCAAACATTCTTTTTACACTGTTCATCATTAAATCAAATGACATAAATTATCTTAGTGTATTGTCAATTTTATTATTATTTATTTTATCTATAAATTATTTCTATTAAACAATACTACTGAAAGTTGAAGGAGTAGTAATGCTTAAGAGAAAATTCTAGGATCTGGTACCATACCTATTATCAAAAAGATACCAGATGTATTTGCAAACTAAATAAATCAATATTAAATCCAAAGCATCTCTAAGAATATAAAAATAGTTAATTAGCCTACATAGATTATTTAGATAATTTTGTAAATTTCTCCATCATCCATTTCCAATTTTCATTTATCCTAATGTATGTTATTCCATTAATTGTAATCTTGAAATAATCAAATAACTGAGATCATCGTATTAAATCACAAGTTTTATTTGAGAGACTATTTATCCTGTAATTCTAAAAATTAGAATTGAGCTTGTAATTGTGAATATTGCAGCAATTGAAAAGTACTAGAATAGCTGAATTATAAAATATTAAATCATTATTTATTAATGTATTTTGATTAAAAGAAGCCATTTCTTTGTCATAATAATTATAAATAATTTCACAAGCTACATTTTAGCACAATAGGACAAATATTAATATGAAAGGTTTCCAATTTATAAAATATCTTTTATAAATTTAAATAGTAGCATCAGATTAATTTGACTCTTCAGTTACATATAAAGTTTAGGTTGAAACTTTGTTAAATTTTTAAATTTAAGTAGTAACTTTGTCAATCAATTTGCTTGGTCTTTTAATTTTTAATGATCTAACTGGATTGTCAGTATTTGTATTACTTGTATTAGAACTAGTAATTTTCAAGATTTGTTTTTTCATATTATTCTTCTAGCCTTAATGTGTAATAATACCACCACCATCAAGAATAACTACATAATCACATTCTAATGCATATGAAATATGATGTGTAACCAAAATGAGGGCTGGTATTTATTGTATAAATGCTTGATGAGTTTTAATTAAAGTTGGTCTATAATTAGGTTAAAATTTAATATAAAATCTTAGATTGCAGAATCAAATATTTTACCAGCCACTTTTAAATCAACTGCTGAAGGGGGATCATCAAAAAGATATAAATCAGCTTATGAATATAATGCTCTTGCTAAACTTAATCTTGCTTTTTATCCTCCTGATAAGTTAGTTCCTTTTTCACCAATCTCTGTTTTATCCCCTTATCTAAATGATAATATATCTTAATCTAAACAACTCACTTCCAATACTTTAAGGTAAAGTACTTAGTCGTAATCCTTTCCAAATAATATATTCTCTTTTATTGTACCTGTATATATGAATAGATCCTATTCAACNTACTACTGAAAGTTGAAGGAGTAGTAATGCTTAAGAGAAAATTCTAGGATCTGGTACCATACCTATTATCAAAAAGATACCAGATGTATTTGCAAACTAAATAAATCAATATTAAATCCAAAGCATCTCTAAGAATATAAAAATAGTTAATTAGCCTACATAGATTATTTAGATAATTTTGTAAATTTCTCCATCATCCATTTCCAATTTTCATTTATCCTAATGTATGTTATTCCATTAATTGTAATCTTGAAATAATCAAATAACTGAGATCATCGTATTAAATCACAAGTTTTATTTGAGAGACTATTTATCCTGTAATTCTAAAAATTAGAATTGAGCTTGTAATTGTGAATATTGCAGCAATTGAAAAGTACTAGAATAGCTGAATTATAAAATATTAAATCATTATTTATTAATGTATTTTGATTAAAAGAAGCCATTTCTTTGTCATAATAATTATAAATAATTTCACAAGCTACATTTTAGCACAATAGGACAAATATTAATATGAAAGGTTTCCAATTTATAAAATATCTTTTATAAATTTAAATAGTAGCATCAGATTAATTTGACTCTTCAGTTACATATAAAGTTTAGGTTGAAACTTTGTTAAATTTTTAAATTTAAGTAGTAACTTTGTCAATCAATTTGCTTGGTCTTTTAATTTTTAATGATCTAACTGGATTGTCAGTATTTGTATTACTTGTATTAGAACTAGTAATTTTCAAGATTTGTTTTTTCATATTATTCTTCTAGCCTTAATGTGTAATAATACCACCACCATCAAGAATAACTACATAATCACATTCTAATGCATATGAAATATGATGTGTAACCAAAATGAGGGCTGGTATTTATTGTATAAATGCTTGATGAGTTTTAATTAAAGTTGGTCTATAATTAGGTTAAAATTTAATATAAAATCTTAGATTGCAGAATCAAATATTTTACCAGCCACTTTTAAATCAACTGCTGAAGGGGGATCATCAAAAAGATATAAATCAGCTTATGAATATAATGCTCTTGCTAAACTTAATCTTGCTTTTTATCCTCCTGATAAGTTAGTTCCTTTTTCACCAATCTCTGTTTTATCCCCTTATCTAAATGATAATATATCTTAATCTAAACAACTCACTTCCAATACTTTAAGGTAAAGTACTTAGTCGTAATCCTTTCCAAATAATATATTCTCTTTTATTGTACCTGTATATATGAATAGATCCTATTCAACATAACCAAATATTAACTTTTTTTAATAAACAATATTTCCTTTAAAATATGGCAATTCTTAAAGAATGGCAGCTAAAAGTGTAGGCTTACCTGCTCCAACATTTCCTATTATTCCCATAATCTCACCAGTTTAATATCTAAGTTAATTTAAGTGATTACAAAAGAACATTGATTTAAAGAACTAAGAGAGGTTGATTTTAAGGTTAAACTACCTTTAGGATTAAGTCTTCTATTTCTATCTTTTAACAATTATTAAACTTGTTAATTTGGAACATGTCTTAAATTAATCTATCGTAATAATATTATTTATTTATTGTTTCAAAATCTCAGAAACTCTTTAAAATATGACACTAAAATTCATCAAAGCTTAAAAGCATAAGAAACTTAAAATATACAATAGTATTTGATCATTAATATTAATTAGATAGTTCCCATTTTTGTTGATATTGTTACATTTAACATCTAAATTTAAGTTGAATTCAATTTAATTACTCTTTCATAAATTAAGTTGATGAATACCATTATCATTTTTGTGGCAAAATCACTTACCAAAAAAATAACTTAGACAGGGATATGTTGTTAAAATTATAAAGTTCCTAAGAATAGTATTAAATCAAAAAAATTACATTTTTTTAATTTCCTTATTTGTTTTTTTTAGATTATGCTAAATTGAATCTTTAAACGCTTATTTTGGAAGATGAGCGACAGTTATTTTCTGATTTGATTATTCAATAAGTTTTTCATTTGTTTCATAAAACAAAATATATGATAAAGGAATAACTTTTTAAATATATTGTAGTGTTAATAGATAATATTATCATTTTTAATATGAAATTAACAACCTTTGACAAGAGAGTAAAGACTGTTTGTAGAATTATGAGACTTATAAGATTTAATAGAATAATCCAGTTTTGATGATTCCAATGCTTTAGTGTGTATTAAATAATTGAATTTTTACATTTTGGCTTTCTTGATTACTTGACTTCAAAAGAATTCTTAGTTCTAATGAATTTTACTTTTGAAGTGACTCTCTACTTCTTCTTCTTTAATAAGATTAACAGCTGCATCAAATTTATAATGATGAGCCTAAGATTATAATTCACTATTATAATCCTCACTATTGTCTTCTTTAATAATGTCACTATAAATGTCGAGGTTTCGAATTTTAAAGAGACTTTCTTTTTAGAAGATCTCTCTAATCTACTCTAAAATTATTATCATTCTAAGTCTATATTTGAGGAAACATTTTCATCAGGTTACTTATTGTAAAAAAAGAGATTTGTTCTCAGTAAATCTATTTCTTTATTTATCTATACAGGAATTCAACATATAATGTTGAATGAGATTTTAATTGAAATATTTATTAATCACATTGATTTTATTTTAAAAAAAAGATAATTGATATTTTAAACTTGAAGTTTTGAAAATTAAATGATCTGAATTTATTATACATAATAATCATATTAATAAATCGTTAATAGCTTGGTTTCTAGCATCGAAATTGTAATCTGATTGAATTCCATTTCTTTGAATAAAAGGTATATTATATTTTAAACATTCTTCATATTCTTATTGAAGTTATTAAAAATGAGGATTGTTAATGAAATCATTTTCTTCTTCCTTTTTTATACTTGGATGTTGTTCAATTTCATGTTATTGATTCCATAATTCTTATGAAAGATTAGAATAATAATATTTATGTTATTCCAACATCATATAGTAATAAGGATCATGTGTTTCATAATTTGGCCCCATATTTGCTTCTTCTTCAAAATAAAATATTATTAATACATGATTTTGGTAAATCAGTTTAAGGATTCTTCTTTTTTCTGCCTGCTCTACTTCTTTCAGCTCTAGGCAAACGCTTTCCATTTTCTCCTCTTAAAGCATATGGATTAAATTTCTAATGATGACTTCTACATTAACTTGGTGTTCTTGTTCCAATTAACTCACTCATTTATTTGAATATTTTTGATGTCTTCTTCATCATAGAAGATGTCATTATATCCTCATATTACTATAAAAAGGATATATATGTCGAATGTTCATCAGTTGACCAATGACCAGTATTTATGTTTTCTTTCTTAGGTTTTTTTATTTGACAATGCTATCCTTTCTATTTTTATGTCTATTAAGAACCCTCCTAAGAACCTTAGCCATCCTAATGTGGATTAGAAACAATGTCTGATTGAAGTTTAGGCATTGGATTGCCTTGTGTGAAATGGAATACTGGATATGGTTATTTCATACTAAACTAAAAATTAAATATTGTACATCTAATCTGGCTGAATTACTAATTGTTGTTGATCCTCAACAAATTGCTTATCTGATTCTAAAGTCTTAGGTAACAGCCCTTTTTAATCGTTATTCCTTTTTCAATGACATTAAATTCAATTACTTATGTTTTTTATTTTTTTTATTTTTTATTTGACTTGGTATCTCATGATCTTGTACAAACTCAAACTAATATGGAGGAAATGTTGCTGCATAAAAATTCTATTGAAATAAGTTTAATTCATTATAATTTGAACCCTAGCTCTATTCTGAATTTATTAAATTATAATTATACTTGCTTAATCTATCTCACCTTGTAATTGCACTTAAGCTTCATTGACATAAGGGAAATAATTTTAGTATTGCTGAATGTTCATCATATATTTTTAGAATATATTTATTTTACAATTTTTAATAATAAACCAATCATATACTTATTTTTTCAAGTTAAATCATGCTTCAAAATTATTTATCTGATTGTCTTATCTAATTAATTGTTTTAAAATAATGATTGTTAAGGAAGCAATAATAAAAAATGTTGAATTCCCGTTTAAAATATGATAAAAACTTACTAAAAGTTAACAATATGATCAGAGCTATTATTATGATGAATAGCAAATTTATTATCTAAAATTTTTATAAAGAATTTTATCAATATTTATGAAATAAACTCATCTATCTGATTTTTCAACTAATTTTAAAATTATTATTTAAAAACCGAAATTGTATCATACAATATCAGCCAGCTTCTAGTTCCACTTAAGTAGTATATACTTTTAGAGTAGAACCATCAGTTTTATCATATTTATTTAGTATGTTATATTTAATTGTTTTTTCCTGCTGCTTGGAAACCTTTACACAACGCACCTTAATTCACAGAATCAAAATGATTTTATGCCATTTCTATTTTATTCTAAGTATAATAATATTATATTTGCAGAAAGCAAGAATTAACATGCATCTGTACTCATCATTAGTTTCATCCTCTAAATAAAATCATCAAATGTTATGTTTTAGATTAATCCATCTATGCGATTAAAAATTTAAAAATGTAGCATTTGTATATGTAAAAAAATAAAAGTTTTAAGATTATGAATACTTTAAATAATAAAAAACTTTTCTCATTGAAAATATACCAATGGCTGCTATAGATAAATCAGATAATGAAGTTCATTTTCAATAAAATCACTATTTTAGTAAAATTAAATTATTATAAATCTTTATTATTTCAAATCCTTAAGGTAAAATTGAGTTAATTTAATTTATCATTTTAAATGACTCTTAAGATAAACCAAAAAATTAGTTAATCTAATTTAAACACTTCTTATTGATAATTTATATGATTGTTAATCAAACCAATAATTAGATAGTCTATTTTATTTGAGAAAAAAATCGAAATTCATTTAAGATTACGTTTTTATAATTTTTCATCTCAAATTGAGGTAATTTTTTTTAATTAGTATGCTGAAAATAATTATTCATAATTTAAAATTAATAAAAAGTATTTAATGCTTTCATTTTTTAACTTTAAAATTAATCATATAATTTGTATAATTGATTTTCAAGTTTATTCTTTAAATTATTATTTTTTTTCCATATATATAATTAGATCATTGTTTAATTAATTTAAATTATTAAACTATTCTCTTTTTCTATTAATCATCTCTACTACTTTTTTCCAATCTTTTATTAGTTTAAAAGAGTTCTCTAAAATTTTCAGAAAAATGAGCAGATTATTTAGAAAATCCCATTCTCATAGATTCTTTGATATTAAGTTAAATTTTTATTTTGAGATAAATCCAATATTATTTAGTCTTATTTTAAAGATAAATTTTATCATTTCCAGATTTCGATTTTTATATTGAATGACTTTTACCATCTGAACTAATGTTTTATTCTATTCTATCACTTTTTTGGTTATTAAATTAATACTGATTTTATGAGAGGCAGATGAACTTATTTAAATCTATTCACTATCGAGTTAAGCTAATAAATTTGATTACTAAAAGATTTTGGTATTTAATACTAAATAATTAATAAAAAGCAAGTAATGTGTAAGGATATTAGGATTCTAAATATTTTATTGATCAATTGATTACAAATCACCATATTCATAGATTATAATACTAATCTTATATTATAAAATTTTAGCTGTAATTTTGGAATTGTCAGTTATATTAAAGATTCATATTATTTCTTTTCATAATTATGAATAATTTCATTTAAAATAGGTGGAATTAGTAAAATCAATAAAATATGATTATTATTCTGATACTTGATTAATAAATAATATTATGGGCAAGTGTTACTTGAAAAAATGGCTCTATATTAATTTCTATCGATGATATAAATTTGGATAATTTCATAGATGAGATATTTCTTAACTAATTTTATGCTAAAAATTAAATAAAATTTTGTAAAATTTGAACTATCTATTTGATCAATCACTAATACTATACCAGAAATGCCTCGTTTTATATAAATGTTTTTATTGAAAATGATAAATGTATGATATTGATGGATGAGGTTTAGGTATAATAAAATATAGAGTATAATGTTAACTCAGTCATTGGAATGATGATAATATTATAAAGTGATGATTGAAAATATAAAAAAATTGAACTTAGTTTTATTTAAGTAGCTTAAGAAATTTCTCTAATAATAGTAAAAAAGTCGATTACTTTTTTAAAAAATTTATTGAGATAATTCAACAATAAAAAATTAGATTCTTAAATTGCTGAAAACATTAACACTATAAGAATTATGTTGTTATCGAATTATAAAAAATAGTTTTAGAATAGAAGTCTTATTTGAATATAAAATTCAATAAATTTTTAATCTAAAGAACTTTTTTATTGTTATTTCTATTTTTCTTTCTTCATTAAATCAATTTGAAAATTATCAAATATCAAAATTTAATAAATTACATAAAAATATAAAGTATTCGTATTCTCAAACCTGAATAATTAATAATATTGCAGATTTATGTTTTAAAAAAAGGGTCCGAAATTTTTAAGAAACCTGTTTGAAATACTCGAAGTAGTTAATTTAATGAGTCAAAGGGTGAAGAAAACATCAATGTAATTAGATGGAACAATGAAGGAGATGCCTTTGAAATTGTAAATGTAGATTTATTAGTAAAATAAATTTTGAGTGTACATTACAAATAGTCAAACTTTTTTAGCTTTGTTAGGTATTGACATCTTTATAATTGAAAGATAATTAAATCAGTATGGATTTCATAAATAAAAGATTGATAAAAATTCTTTCTCTTTTAGACATAAATATTTTCAAAAAAATAAAAAGTATAAGTACATTATAGTTTTTAGAGAATTGATTGCTAAAATAATAAGTTCTCATAAGTAAAAGGTTCAAGAATTTTAAAGAGAATAGAGAGAAAATTTATTTAATGATAATGAATAAAATATTTAAACAAAAACAATTTAAGAATTGTAACAAAATTAACATAAGATTTTTACTTAGTTCAAAGAATAAATGAACACTTAATTGTAAATAAAGTAATTGATTACGTATTTAAAAAATGTATAGAATAAATTAATATTTTATAAGAAAATAGCTGAATTCAATATTTAAATAGAATAATAATGTTTTATTGCTTAAACATTATTGTTTAAGGTTATAAAAACTATACCAAATGATGAACAGTATTAATTTGAAACTGATCTCCTAAAATAAGTGTTATAAGAATTTTCAAACATTTACTTAGAATATTATGGATACAATTAAAGTTAAAGAAGCCCTAATTTATCAATTTTATCTCTAACTCCAGTTCCCTTTCAAATGAATGAATAACAAAAAAGAAGTTTGGGTTTAGTTGATACTAAAAAAGTTCATTTACATGAATAAATAACATAATATTTGAAATGGGTAAAAGAATCTTATGAAAATGCAATTATTAGAAATGCAATTTGAAAATAATTTTTAAAAAGCATAATGATAGTTATTCTTTTTTTATTGGAATAAGGTATTACTGATTCCAAATATTAAGTCTTTTAATTTTAATAATTTATATTCTTATTAAAATTTTTATATAGTAAAATTATTTTTGTATTAATAGTTTAATGTGTCCAAATAATTTTCAGGTTTTTTTTTGATTTTGTTAGTAAAGAAGAGTAAAGCAGAATAATTCAAAAAAATGATTAAAAATCTATAGGAAGAAATAGAAAAGTTTAGAATAACACAAATAGAGATTTAGATAGAAAAGCATAAGCATTTATTGTCAGAAGATGCCTTATTGTAATGCTATTTAGTGATGATCAATTAAAATCTTTAAGTGGCATTGAAGGAATACATAATATAATTACTAGATTATGCTAAAAATTTACCTTTGCCTTCAAATAATGAATTAGCTGTAGCATTTTCTTAAAGTTTTATCCCTATAAATACTCCGTTTATTAAGAAATTTAAACAAGTTAAAAAGATTATTGAAAAGGTGAATTTAAATGTGCTTAATCATTTTAGAAAGATATATGATGAAATGAGAAATATATAATGTAAAAAGATGGAATAATAAATAAAAGAAAATGATTTTTCTAAATGTGTTTGTGCAATCTATTAAAAAACTAAAACTCCTAAATCAATTCCAAATGCCATTATTATAATTTGTTTTATGTGCAGATTTTAATTTCATAACACATGTTTAAGATATAAAATAAAAGATGGTTAACCATCATTTGTTTGTCCTTAATGCATATTAATGAATATGGATCCATTGCATAAAGTAGAAAACATTTTAGCATTTTTAACTTTAGAAACAAGATCATAGTCAGAGAAAAGCACAACAATGAATTTTACTTTAAATTAAGTAGAATTAAATTAATCTATAGATATTAGATGTATTAGATTAGATGGTTATAGATATGAATAATCTTGGCCTGATATTGGTGATTTAATGATAAATGGAATCAAAGTAGTATAATTCAAACCATTAAAAGTGAATAGTTCTTTAAAATATAGAAAAGATGAATATTACACTATTAAAAATCCAAAATAAGGATAATACAGAATTGTATTACGTTCTTAATCTAGTAATTTAAATGATAGAAAAAACTTTTAAATTAAAACTGATTAATTGTTTTACTTTGGTGCATTTCTTATCTAAGAAATTAGTTCAACTGAATTAATTTAGTAATATTAATTTGATAAATCGAAATGGGTTAATACATAATAAATGAAAGATAATATTTGGATGTATTCTAATCTTAATTAATCAGTTGATATTGCTGTGAACAAAATATCAGTTAGTTTAATTTGTTAAATTACTACTTTACCAATAAAAATACCTTGCAGAGGAATATTATGTGAACATATTTAATGTTTTTGTTTAGATAGTTTTTGTAAATTCATTGAATCTCTAACATAAAAGAAATGGTCATGTCCTGTATGTAAGAGAATCTGTTTAGATTTTTATATTGATGGATATTAATATAGTATTTTAGAATTCTTATAAAATTAAAAAACAAATAAATAAAGTAAGTTAAGTTTTGAATAATAAGTATCTAATATTAATTTTGATAAAAATGGTCATTATTTAGATAATTTTATAGATGGATCTTAATTAAAATTTACACCTGGTAGAAATTATTTTAATGAGATATATTAATAAAAAAAATAAATAAAGGAAGATTAAATGGTAAAGTTATGATTTTATTTTATGTGTGATTATTTTTATTAAGATTTTATTAAAGAATTATGAAAGAACATTAAAATTTTAAATTAATTCAATTTTTCGGTTCTTCTCTTATAGTTACTTGTTTTACTTTTTAATTGAATCTTGATGCTTCTAGCTTTATTTATTATGGAGAACCAGTTTAATCCTCTTTTACTAAATTCTATTATGCTTGAACTTTTGCTAAATTACCCAAATTTTATTTCAATACTCCTTTATTCTTAACTTTCTTCACTTCTTTAATTAAAAAATCACTATATTTAGATAGGGCTTAATTTGAATTAGCCAATTAAAGCTCTAAAAATTAAATATAATTCGTATAATCTTTAGCATCATTAACTGACTATTAAGTATATTTGTTTCTTATATTAAGTGCAGTTGATAAAGCATTAAATTCAGCAAAATTATGGAATGAAAGATAAATTTTAGAATTAAGCTAATTATAAAAATCTTTTTCTATCTTTTCCAACATAATAAAATTATCGTATAATTCTTCTAGTAACATCAAAATCATAAATTAAACTTGTTATTTTTTTTCCTGTTATAATATCATTTCCATTTTTTCCATTGGATTCATTAATATCCAGATAATAATTTTATGATCATTTTATAAATGAGAGTCTATATAAAATTATTAAGAATTTTACTTTTCAATATAGCTAATTTCTTTTCAAAACTATTTTCATTTTCAACTTAAACTAACAAATCTTTTGCTCCTTTACCTCTCAATAATTCTAATAAATAAATTGTTTATATTTACATGCAACAAATTGAATTTAAATACTACTTATAGGAAGAAAATCAGTTAAATTAGTATCTTCAGCTTCTTCATCTATTTCTTACTTTTCATTAGATTTTTAATTGATTACTTACATTTTACCTAAAGGAATAATTATATATAAACAATTACTTAAGATATCCCAAAATAAAATGAATTAAAATTCTGGTACTATATTTTAAGTATCATATTCACTATATAATTTCTTATGATCATCAGAAGATACTGTAATTTTCTAAAGAGTTCTTTTGTCCCAACCTGCTTCATTCCAAAATGCTATTTTATGATAAATACAAAAGAAAGGTTAAATATTTAATTTTTCCTTTTTTTTAGTATGAAGTACATTACCAAACCATAAAATAACTTTATCATTTAATTTCATTTCTTACCATAAATAAAATAAGCACACTAATTTACTAAAAATACTTATAATTTATTGAGAATTCATTGATTTAAGATGTTCAGCATTAAATTTAGCAAATTTGCTTGGTTCACTTTATATTTCAAAAGATTAATTATTTTATTAATTATTTACTGTCTTAATTGATTTCATAGATTTTAAAATAGATTTTTTTCTACTATCCTATCTTTAAATATCATCGATTACTACATCAAAATACCTAACTTCATTTGAAATATCTAGAAGAGAAATGTCAAATTCAACTTTTTATTGTTTATTTTATTTCAATTTACCTTTCTATTTTTATTATTATAATTTAAGTGTCTTTTATTTTTATTTAATTTTTTCTTATTCTTAAATTTTTATTTAATATCTTTCTAAATATTTTTCTGGATTCTTTACTAAAATAATGTTTGTAAAGAAAAAAAATAAAAAATCTATTGATCTAACTAAATTTTGAAAAGTCTCCATTTATTTAAAATTAAGAGTAGTAATCTATTTATGAATTTTTTCAATAAGATTATGTGTTGCTTCTATGTATTAATCTTATTTAATTGTTTAAGCAAAGTCTCCTTAATCTTCTCCATGAATTTCAAATCCTAAATCCTTATATTTTTTTTCAAAATCATGAAATTAAAATTAAATAATCCAATCCATTTTTTAATTAGGTTGAGGAGTATAATATTATTAAAAATTTAATTAATTAGATGCAATATCTTAAATACCTTTTTCTAAAGCAGCAATCCAAGTAGAAACCTAAGTAGTTTTAAATTATTCACCAGCCAATTTTTTTCCCGTCAAATTCTATAAATTTGTCATAGCTTCATTTGCTGTATTATATATTTTAATTTCTTCAACTGATTCTATTCTTTATCTATTACCAACTATATTTTTATCTTCATCAAAATCTAATTCAATTTTTAATTTATTATCATCTTCTTCACCATCTTCATTCATACTACTCTTACGACTAATTTTTTTATTATCATCTTATTAAAAAAGCATTCCAAATAATAAAGTTCTATATTCATTAAATTTAGCTTCACCATATTTATAAATCAATACAGTTAATTCTTTAATATCATATATTTTTTTATATATCCAATTCAATATAGCCCATTTTGAATGCATTTTTTCTTCATCATTATCTGATTATTCATTAATTTCATCATCATCATCATCTTCTTTTTTTTTTAATTTTTCATATTCATTCCTTAATATACTCATAATAGTATCAACCAAACCTAATCTTTCTGTTTATTCACTATTAATTTCAATAAAATGTCCATCTAATATAGCTATTAACATTCTCATTAAAACTAATAATATCACTATATTTATGAGAAAATAAAATAGAATAACACTTGCTTAATAATTTTCACCATCAGATTTATGCATTTTTGCATTTTAACTTATTATTTGTAGAGAATATATGACAGATAAATATAAATTTTTAAATGATCCATTTACATAACCAAAACTTAATACTCCAACACAAGCAAAAGCAAAAACAATCAAACAAAACATTATCATAAAGAATACTATGTCAATACTTGCACTTGCAATTATATCTAAAACTAAACTAAGTTTTGCAGAAAATGAAAAGTAAACCATTATTCTTATCATCCTATTTTAATATTTAAAAATTATACTCATTAAATAAAATAAATGAAGCCATTGTGTTATATAATTAAAACAATTAAGCAAGATTTTAAAAATCATTAAACATTCCAGGTGGTTCTTTATCAGCCTAATTAATATTTAAATATATTTTACAAATAAAAATCCTTCATAATAATCAAATGACATTCTTAATTAATTGAATACAATCTAAAGCCAATAAATAATTTAAATAAACATCAATAATATTCCTGTAATTAATAAAATATTAAAAAATGTTTATTAAACCATTATTTTAAGACTTGTAAGTAAACGCATAACAAATCCATAAATTCTTTTACCTATACCAAAAAGTAGATTAACAATTTAATCATTTTTTTTGTCTGAAAAATCCATATTTAAATGTCTTTCAACAAATGAAAATTATCTATCAGATGGAAGATCATAAGGTGTAAATTCTATAGCACTTGGATGATTCCAAACTTCTTTCCATTAATTTAAAAACATTTTCCAAAATTTAATGTGAAAATATAATACAATGAGTTCAAAAACAATTCTTGTTAATCTACTACCAGAATACAATGTAATTGGAAATGTCTAATAATAATTAAATAAATAATTTACATTTAATGTAATTAGATGTTCTATTTAACCAGTAGCTTTAATATATATTGTTACAGTAACAAATGAATATAAATCTTAAGGTGGATTATAAATGATAAATTCACAATTAATTATTCCTGTCTAAAAAATAATATAATTATAATCAATACCGAAACAGTAAAAAAACTATCTGATTATATTTTTTAGTATTATTCTACAGCTCCACTTATTTCACTCTAAAATTAAAATGTATATCCTCCTGCCTAATATGCAGCACTTGGTGTTCCTTTTCCTAAATATTTATATTCAATTCCACTCTTATATAAATTTTCCATTTTTTCACCAGAAGATTCTCCTGAAAATGGAGTAAAATCTGATGAAGACCTTCCACGAAATACTATATCGTTATTTTCAGTAAAAAAATTAACATTTAATCCTTTATATAATCTAATTGTCATTCTTACTGGAGAATAACCAACAAAAACATCAAAATCTCTTAATTATTCTTTACTATAATTATTATCATAATCATCTCCTGCTGTACTAAATATTACATTCTTAATATAACTATCAATATCTCTTGATGATTCTACATCTTCTAAACTTATATCATAAATCTAAAAGTTTTTCACTCCTTGAAATAAACTTGTATCATAAAATTATTTAATATAATACTCTTGATTAAATGTACTTGATTTTAGAGTTTAATTTTAAAATCCTATAATTAAGAAAATTAAAAAGATCATATGTAAGAATCCATCTTTTAAATTTGTAAATAAATTTTTTTCTTTTAAATTTTTCATTTCTTTTCTGTTTTAAGTTTATCTATCTATAATTTCCTCCTTTTTATCTTTTATTTCTTTAATTCTTTATTATTTAGTTAATAAATCTTCTTATCCTAAACCTATAAAATTCATAAGAACATTTTTAATATCCAACTATTGAAAATTATACATAAATATTTCCTTTAAAGTTAATTCTTTTTCTTTTTCTTTTGGTTCTTCAGGTTTTGCTGCGTTATTTTTAGGTTTTTAAGGAGACTATGCATCATCAACCTTTTTCTTTAATAATCCTCTTAATTATTCTCCTCTAATTGATTTATTGGAAATAGCAGATTTTACAGATTTTTAATCAGATAATGGTGGTTATCCAGATGATAATGGAGTTTTTGTTTTTTTCTTTTTTTTACTATCTTCCTCTTCTTTTTTTTTTTTTTTTTTCTGCTTCCTCTTTTTTTAATTTTTCTCTTAATAATTATTCTTCTGTTACTGGTGGTACAAAAAATATAAGATTTATCCATTTCATAGTAGCTTTTGTAGATTTATCAGCAGCTATCTCAGCTAAAGCTTATGTTGTTAATTATAGTTTTTATCTTAATTATCCATATGTTAAAATTATAATTCCATAAAAGTATGGAAGCAATATTAGATTAAATGAAATAAAAAATAATAAAGAATAAACGAAACCTATTCCTGGAACTATTTATTCAAGAAAAGCAAATTTAAAATTACCACAAAAAAATTCAAAACATAAATATGCTGCATTACCTAATGTTGCTATTTCATCATTCAATGGTCCAAAGATTATATTTGAAATCATTATAAAACTTACTAAAACCATAGCCGTGTACTATTATAATAATAAAAATAAATACCGAAATAAATATGATCATATCTTTACCAGCTACAATGAATGTATACATTAACACACCAAATGTAGGAAAGAATGAAGACATAATCTTAATTATATCATAAATTGTTATTATAAATGTTGTTATAGCAAATAACTAATATGTATTTGAATTCTAAAGATAATTATCTATTCCTTCTATTTATTCTTATGTTACTTATGGAGTTATTGTTATTCCTTAAAATTAAGAAAACATTAAAAACCAAGCTATGATGTAAATAAAGTTTAATGTTCTTTATGCTGTAATAAACAGTAAGTCAAACTCAAATTCAAATATTCTTGTTGATAAAAATTTAATTACCATAAAAAATATTCTCTATGTTTTTTATAATATTATAATTACCTTTCCGATTGTATAAACTATCTAAAAGAAAACCACAGCAGCAAATAACGATTTTGTTACTATTCCAAATACAACATTTGATTATACATTACTTCCCTAATAATAATACACCCCATAATCAATAACCTATTAATATTAAATTCTTCCTTAATTACTAATGTCAAATTAATTAGAAATCTTTAGAATTACTTCAGTCAAAGGATTTATTATATAAATGTCGTGTTTTAAAACAAAGAGGGAAGAAAAATCAAATTAACTTTCAAGTAATGATAGCATTTCTGAAGCAAATGCTTAATCCATAGAATTAGTGAAGTACATTTTTACTTCAAAAATATCTTCAGATTCTAAGATCAATTAAAAACTATAATTACATGAAATTATTATGTTTTGTTAAAACTTTTCATCTATTTTAGATTCATTTATTTAATTCGCTTAATTCATTGTTTTTTCGTCACTCAACATTATATCTGCCATCGTATAAATATCAGTGTTTTGTATTGTTATTATTTTCCTTACGAATTCATCTGATTCCTTTAAATATTCAAATTGTATACTAAATCTTCATTTACATGTTTCAAAGTAAACGAAATTACGCTTCCAAGATAGTAATTATAATTTTCTAAAAGCAAATATGAGGTATTTGCATATTGACTTGAATTTTCAATCAAAGGATTATAAAGAAGATCAAAACGGTTTCGATCTTCAGAATGATCGTGTATAAAATAGATAATTTTTTAAAGGTATTCACTATAAATGAATGGAACATCTTATATTTCATTTAACTGTGTTGATATTCTATTTAGATGATTATGAAATATACCTTTAGGAGATATACTTTTTAATACTTTGACTAGTCTCATGAACTTCAGGAATACGATATTCTAAATAAATTTGAATAATTAAAACAACATATATTACAAGTAACATACTAAATATAGTTAGAATAATATAATACAAATTGGTACAGAAGCCAGCATCATTAGAAATGATCTATTCAATTTCATCTAAAACATTATTAGAGGAATCCTTTTCTTTTTCTGACTTTTATCCATTTCCTGTATCTTCATCTTTTTTGTTTTCAGAAATCATAGATTTATCATCTTTATTAATTGATTTTAAGATTTCTTCTTCTTCATTAATTACAGATTGTCCTTTCCGAGACATTTAAATTATATTTATATTTATATATGTAAAATAAATAACTTGTAAGCAGAACAACAACAACACGAAATTTATTTCAATCTTAGAGTGTTCTTGAGTAATCACTTAAATCATCAATATTATAAAAGTCCAATTTTCATTTACAAATACAATCATAAGTAATTTGCAATAACAATCCAAATAATGAAGAGAAACAGATATCTAAGAATCCATACTTCAATGATTTAAGTTGTATTAGTCATGATTCTGAAAATGACATATTTCGAGATTGTCCTACATATAAAAATGGTCCAAAATCTACAGGATCACTTAAATCCAGATCAAAAATCCTAAATTAAATGGCATATATAACATAAAAAATGATCCCTGAATTTTAGAGAGGAATTTAATTGATTTCATAAGCCGAGTATAAATGGTATTTATAAGAGGGATAAAGTTTTTGATTTTCGAGTTGAATAAAGTGAATAGCCTATCCATATCAACAGCTAATAACTAAGTATAGGAGAAATTATAGTTAATTATTAACATGATAAAGTATGTTTTATTCATTCGATATCTATATAATTAGCATCCTATAGAATTAAGACCAGAATTATGGAATGTATAATCTGTCAGACAAATGGAATTTTACTATTATAAACTACGATCCAAATTATAACCTGTTCCTTTATAATTTTATATGAATTAAAGTGAAACTACTAATTTTAAAATTTTTGTTTCATCTTTAAATCCATTTCCAACTAAATTCTCTTGTGATCAAATTATTTCAGTCAAAGGATGGAAATACAAAATAGATGAATCTAAAACATTTCATTGTGAATACATTTATATTAGTATGGTTTGTGATCTAGATACTTAAGTGAAACTTAAATTTTAATTTGGCAGTCGTTTAATGAAAAGACCGTAAACTTTATCAAGGAAAATTGAACCATCATAAGTATTTATGAAAAGTGTTCATCATTAATAATTAGAGAGAATGAATTCTGATTAATTAAATGCTTAAGTAGCAGAAATTAAAAAAAGAAGAAAAGATAAATTAAGATAACGTGGAATTATTAAAGATCTCATAAAAGAAAATATTTAAAAAGTTATTGAATATAATGAAGAACATTAAAAAAGTTTTAGAGAATTAAAAAAAACTTAAGGAGATAATAGAATTGAAGATGTTCTTTGTAGAAAAAAGTTAATGAGTTAAAATGAACAATAAAGGAAAGAATATTAATAAAAAACTAAAGAATTAAGTAAAATTATAAGATAGAGACATAATTTTGTTTAATAAAAAAAGAACCTTAAAAATAGGGTCTGTGCCCATTGGTTTAATAGTATTTATATGTCTTTGATATGTACAAAGATTTATTATATGTTTTAACATAAAATAGAAGCTTAGAATCAATCTACTTTAATGGCATTTTAAGTCAAAAGAATTATGAAAAGAATTCATAAAAGATTAAGTGCAATAAAAGGAGTAACAATATATGATAGAGTATTTTTCGATGTTAAATTGTAAGTTATAAATAAATCAATATTCTAGAGTATTATAATGTTTTTGTAAATCTGTATATAATAAGCAAGTTAAATTGCACATTGAAAAAATTGTTCCGCACTTAAAAATTAGAGCAGAAATCTATCATTTTAAGAATTAAGTGTTAATTACAAATTTTAAAATTTAAAAGATTAGATCTTTGTTTTTAGAGTTTTTATTGAGATATAAATCTTATAAATAAATACTTCATAATCTCTGGAATAAATATTTTAAAGAGTAATTTTAAAAATATTAAAATGGATTAGATCAGACTAAAAAGGATATATATTAGCCATTTTTAATATAATTGTAAAATTAAG